CCATTCGGCCACCCAACCCCCCTAGCATTAAAGATGCATAAAAATGAAATGAAATGGGGTTTAAAGTCCTACTGTTTTACTGCGACTGGGCTAATGAAGACGGGCACACGCCATACAGTGTGCTATGAGGGCACTACGACTTACTCTTATATCGAATTCTAAATACCAGAGGATCTTTTACAAGCACGACAATGTGTACATGGGACCTTGATTTTTCGTCCCAACCGAAGGACTAGACAGCTGTCCTTGTCAAGCCCTCCGTATTAAAGATGCATTAAGCAAGGGCTAAATCAGGTTTATCTAGACATTTGTTCTCATAATAAACTTGGCTAAGTGGGTAAGACGCTGGCTCGCTAGTCTGGAGGTCGGGTGTTCGATCCCTGCATTGACCGAGAAAGTTCATCCAGATTTTCCGGCGTGGTTTCCCCTTGTCAGTGATGCAGGACGGAGGGCATGACAAAGACAGCTGTCTAGTCCTTCGGATGAGACGAAAAACCGAGGTCCCGTGTATACATTGGAATGCACGTAAAAGATCCCTTGGCAGTTGGAATTCGATATAAGAGTAGGCGATAGTGCCGCTGTCCGGGCAAAATTTCCCTCATAGTACACTGTATGGCGTATGCCCGTCTTCATTAGCCCAGTATAGGAGCAGAACAGTAGGACGTTAAACCCCATTTCATTTCATTTCACGAACGACCAGCTGTTCATCTAAAAATTACATAAAGTATGTTTAAATAGTCTGTTATCTTGGTATAATTATGTGATTATATACCCCTATTATATATATCCGGAAGTGTATTGCCATATAAACATTATTTTATCATAAAACTGAGATAATTAACACGAGTAAATCATAAAGCAATAAATACGTCATTTATAATAAGGTGCAATCAATTACCTGCCAATTACGTTTTATTTGTGATGAATTGAAATGGGGGTTAACGTACTAGCTCTCTGCGACTACCTGGCCAGCGAAGACGACCGTACACTGTGCTATGAGGGAAAGTTTGTCCGGACAGCGGCGGTTCTGCCAACTCTCCGTCGAATTCCTACTGTAGGGTTATTTTACGTGCACGTCAGCGTGTACACGCGACCTCGGTTGTGGTTGTTCGTGCCATCCGAAGGACTACAAGCTGTTCTATGAAGTTGATGTCCAGATCACGCGAACTTCCTGGCCCCGACTTCACAAAGCATCCTCAAACTATTTTTGTTTTAATATATCTAACTATGCACAATTTGTTGTGTTTCTGGATCAAAACTATTTCTCGTGAACAGTTAAGTCTGAGAATGCTTTGTGAACTCGCAACCTGTACGCATCAAAATGCCTATATTGAGAAGCAAGACTGCGTTTTATGATAATTTATGGGGAGTCTAGGTTTAGGTTTAGAATTTAATATGTTTAGTAATTAGGAGTTATAACAAACATTTACATATGTTAATCTTTTCTCTCCTCCTACCGCCATGTTTGTTTGTTCCCTGTACAATTTATTATACATGTGTGTACATTCTTTAGTCAAGATGTGTAACCTATATCGTCGTTGTTTCCGTTGTCGTTTCCGTTTCCGTTCACGTATTTGGAGTGTCCAACATTAATACATTGATGTATAAAAATTGAATAAAATGCGGTTTAAGGTCATACTGCATTATTCACGGACTGGGCTAATGAGGACGGGCATACGTCATACATAGTGATATATGGACAAATTTGCCCGGACAGCGACACAACGGACTATTCTTGTTTCGAATTCCAACTGCTGGGGTTTCTTTTACATGCACTCCAATGTGTACGCGGGGCCCCGGTGTTTCGTCCGACCTGGACGACTAGACAGCTGTCTTTGTCAGGCCCTCCGTTCTGCACTACTAACAAGGGGAAGCCACGGCGGAAAAACCCGAAAAACGTTCTCGGCCAACACCGGGATCGAACCCAGGACCCCTTGGTTATCGAACTATAGCGTCTTACTCACTGAGCCACCATGGCTGTATGGTTAGTTGATTCCCCCTTGTCAGTGATGCAGGACGGAGGGCCTGACAAGGACAGCTGTCTAGTCCTTCGGATGAGACGGAAAACCGAGGTCCCGTGTATACATTGGAATGTACGTAAAAGATCCCTTGGCAATTGGAATTCGATATAAGAGTAGGCGATAGTGTCGCTGCCCGGGCAAAATTTCCCTCATAGCACACTGTATGGCGTATGCCCGTCTTCATTAGCCCAGCTTAGGAGCAGAACAGTAGGACGTTAAACCCCATTTCATTTCATTTGTATGGTTAGTGCTAAATGATAAGGCCAGCTCAATTTTTCGTCATAGGTCACGAGATGTAAACGGGACTAGCGTTCTTATCCCAAACCTAACCCTAACCCTGGACCTAGCCTTAATGCTTACCCTAGCCCTAACGTACAAACTCGCCAACAATCACGTGCGATAACCGTATTTACATCTGAGCGACCTTGACGAAAATTGAGCTGGCCTTAACAAATAGATTTAGCCATTGCTGTATAAACTATCGCCAGTTTTATATTATATACCAGGAGTTCTATTTATAGAAACGTGATTAGTTTAAACACACCCTGATATAATATATTATAAATGACATCCTTGTTTAACAACAATTACCTCTCAAATGTGTCAAATCTCGAAAAAAAAATTATTTTTGTTTTTATGGGTGTTGGTTTCACCTACTCCCAATATATCATATTTATGGGTGTCGGTTTCACCTAGTCCAAAATGTATCATATTTATGAGATTTTTTCTGTTAAAACTCTTAGTGACAGGCATAAATCATAATTTTGATTATGCATACTAGAACCCGACAACTGGTTATTATTGCCCATAAGGTTTAAAATGAAACGCAATTGTACCATCTGGGTTTGAGAGAGAGAGAGAGAGAGAGAAAGTGAGAGAGAGAGAAAGAGAGAGAGAGTTTAACGTCCACTAGACACAAACTAGGTCATTTTGGGACTAACATATGGTTCAAATTTTATTTCAGTAATTCGCTTACGCGTAGGGGGTCTTTAGCAGTGGGAGGAAACCAGAGGACCCGGGGTTAACGTCCTACTGTTCAGCTTCGACTGGGCTAATGAAGACGGACACACGCCATACAGTGTGCTATGGAGGAAATTTTTCCCGGATAGCGGCACTATGGCCTACTCTTATATCGAATTCCAACTACCAAGGGAACTTTTACGTGGACGCCATTGTGTACACGGGACCTCGGTTTATTATTCCATCTGAACGACTAGGCAGCTGTCCTTGTAAGGCCCTCCGCCGTGCACCACGCCGGAAAATCCCGATGAAAAGGGGGCATGTTCTGGTCACTGCCAATCACACTCAAACAATGCAATTCCTATGTCAGTATGGTAGATAGATAGAATATACCCCCCCCCCCCCGCAACCCCTTCAGTTTAAGAAGGGGTTGGGTGGGGGCGAGGGGTTGGGGGACTCTCCCTTCCCTTGTAACCCTGCCTGATTATATCCAAATCGGCATGTCTGTAAGTTCTTGTCTATCCTGTATTTATTTTTTTTACGATATTAGCCATACAATCTGCTTACAACACAGATTCTATTTCGTTTTGTTTTTTTATAGTTCAAAATTTTGTTTTACTTGTCTGCACGGACCTGTGGGTAAACCACTAGAAACGTCAACGCTGATTGAAAGATTAATGTCTGACGTCATAGGGTCAAAAGTTGTTCGTACGACCCCTGACACGACCTTCCAGTACAACTTGTCAAATCTCCATGTAGTGTAGACCATCGAAACGAAATATAGATCTGTGTTTTAATCAGATTGTTAGCCATACTGACTTGAAAAGTAAGATGTCTTTTCCGACTTCCCTGTTTACGTTACAATACTGTAAAATTATACATTTTAAACTCATAACTTAAACAACAGGAAAACGGCTTTTAAAATAAGTTATTTAAATGACCAGTTCCTGTTTATAATTGAAACGCGAGGGCACTTATCATTATATAAGTATCTACGATGCTCAACTCTAATTTCCTATCCAGAAATAAAAATATGATGGATTAATTCGGTGAATGAAAGATAACTCTTGACGAAAAATGGAGGCAAACCACCATTAATTTCCCCATTGACTTCAATGTTAATTCTGGCCTCTTTACCCACCTCTAACTTTTCTCCAAATTTTCATTGGGCTGAATGCTTTTCACTACAGAGGGACAAATGGTCATGTCTTTGCACTTGTATTTCAATAATTCGCTGGCGCGTATAGAGATCTTGAGCAGTGGGAGGAGACCGGGGAGATACCGAGAGAGAGATAGAGAGAGAAATGGAGTTTAACGTCCACTCGACACAAACTATTTCATTTCGATACTAACATATGGTTCAATTTTATTTCAATAATTCGCTGGCACGTATAGGGGTTTTTAGCAGTAGGAGGACACCGGAGAACCCGGACAAAACAACGAGGTTGGGTAGGCGACCCTACTCCTTGTCACGTATAAGTGTGTGGACGAACTAACAACTTCTATATTTGGCTTTGTCTGTTTTTACGTCTGCTTGAAGTTGCCGGGTACACAAGGGCTACCCACGAACTAAAATTTTGGGTATAAAGGCGGCTCGAACTTGCGAGAGAGATGGGCGTAGTTGCGTTGCACTACCAATTCGGTTTTGTAGTTAATCTACTTCCGGAGTTTCGCTTAGGGATGAGGTGTCGTCCCAACTCCCCTAAAATTTTTTTAAGATGTGTTCTGGAACACTATTTATTTACATCCCTCCAGCCCACTACCACCCCCCTTCCCCCGCCCACTACCATCACCCCGACCCTCCCCCCCGAAAACACAAAACGAGCAAGACTGTTCCCTAACCCTAACATTGAATCGAACTATTGAAAATATAACATGGCGTCGCTTATTATGATTTAACAGCAGATAAATCATGTGACATAAATCACAGCCTCGAAGTGAGTGTAGGCCTACGACCAAGACTGAGGTTTTGCATTATCATGCTAAAAAAAATAATGTAATTTTATTTATTTTTTACAGTTTTCTGTAAACCGTTGGAATGTTTTGGGCAGTGGCAAGCAATACACAGAGCATGTTACAAATTTGATGAAAGTCCAAGAACATGGCAGGCTGCATCTGATTCCTGCCAAGAAGATGGAGGAGAATTAATGTCCATTGGCTCTCGGGTAGAATTTGTAAGTTAAATTTGTTCTCAGACGGTACATTATTTCGGTCATACCAGTCCATAATGTCACCCCCCCCCCTTCGACTACATCCAATATTAATTTATACCGGACAATGCTAACTCATGTCATCTGACACAGTATTAAGGGCAGATGGCCTTCACATTGTATTTGGATAGTGACGTCATTGTGGTGGATCGAGACAAGATTTTCCATAGATCATTTCACAAACACTGAACAATCAGAACGGGAGGTGGGGGGGGGGGGCTGAGAAGGCGCCTGTGACAACATGGTACTCCCGGTTACACACGGGCAATGGAACTTTTCGTCAAATATTGAAAACGGTCCCAGACCCTCCGTACGTTAAAGACTACGACGTTCTGGGTGACAGAGACTCCCACCCTCTCTCTCTCTCTCTCTCTCTCTCTCTCTCTCTCTCATTTTATTATGATGTTTCAGATGAAGATTAAGAAAGCCGTTCAAGCTAGAATCAACAAGGATCATATGTTGACGTGGTGGGTGGGTTTAAGACGAGATACTGACTCTCGTAGATTTGACAGATGGTTGGATGGTGGCATCTTCTCAACTCGTGTAACGTAAGCTACATTTCTATAGTTTTAAAAAAAAAATTAACAAAAATACAATAGTCAGCTATTCATCATCTGGGTAGTTAGGATGGGACGAAAAACTGTGATCACGTGTACAAATTGACAGTGCACGCTAAAGATCCCCTGACATTTGAAAAAATGGAGTTTAACATCCTACTATTCTGCTCCGACTGGGCTAATGAAGACGGGCATATACGCCATACATGATATACGCCATTCCCTTATGATATGAGGGAAATTTTGACCGGGAAACGACACTATGGCCTACTCTTATGTCGAATTCCAAGTGTACTTTTACGTGCACGAGACCTCAGTGTTTCTTCCCATCCGAGCGACTAGACAGTTCTCCTTGTCAGGCCCTCCGTCCTGCATGTTCACTGACAAGGAGAAACCACATAGGAAAATGCCGATGAACTTTCTCGGTCAAAGCAGGGATCGAACACGCGACCTGCAGGCTAGCGAGCCAGCGTCTTACCCACTTAGCCACCGTGGGTATCCGATTAAACACCATTTCATTTAAAATGAAATGTATGTTAGTCCCAAAAGAACCAACGTGTTGCGTTGAGGAGACGTTGCACTCTTTATGTTTTTAATACGGTGTTATACCCCCGTCAGACCGGGGTTGCGTCCTTACTATATTCTACTACGGCGACGGAAAATGGTCTCAAAAGCGCGTCAAGATCGCCATAAGCGTGGTGGAAACGTCAGAAATCGTGATGTGGTCTCCATGGCCGAGTCACGGCGTTTGTTTTGAGCATGTTCAAAACAAACGCCAAGGTTCGCAATCTGACCTGGACAGCTGTGAGATAGCGACTTTTTTCAAGTTTTTAATTTTTTGGGACATTTTCTCGCGTTGTGTTCACGTTTGCCGACGAGATTGTACATTTTCTAGTCGCCGTACGGTCGCAGCAGCTCAGTAAGGACACCAACCCGGTCTGACGGGGGCATTAACCCGCGCCTTCTAAACGTTATACCATAACAATAAAATGTTATAATTTCTGACAGTGGTCACAAGATCACCATATTCTTTTCTTTTTTAATAGAATTATTTTTGGGAGAGTTCTAAGATAAATATTATCATTTCAGCCAGTGGTCTCCGGGGGAACCCAATAACAGAAGACAACGAGAAAATTGTGCTGAATTTAAGTTTGATGGGAAACTTAATGATAAAGATTGTACAATGGAAAGACCGTTTGTCTGTGAATTAGTAACGAGTAAGTTGATTTTACACTTGAAAGAGACAGCTTGACCGAAGGTGTGCAGTATGGCATGAACCCGTTCTTGTACGTAACAAGGAGTAGGGGTTTTTTTTCCGGGTCCTACCGCTTCCTCCCTCTGCTAAAGACCCCTACGTGCAAGCGAACAAGCGAATTATTGAAATAAAAATGAATCATATGTTAGTTCTGAAATGGCGAGTGGACGTTACCCGCCCCCTCCCCCCCCCCCTCTCTCTCTCTCTGTCGGTCATAATATGATAAGGATATTTTGATCAATTTCATGTATGGGATGTGTTAATTGACATTTGTCTACATAATCCCCACTTTCATTTTTCACCCAGATCAAAGCCCCTTTAACAATGTATTCAAATGTATAAGTCGCATTACGCCTAATGCCAGGTTCCCACTATCACGATTCGTACTACGATTAAAATCGTGATTTTAATGGTGGAGTAATCGTGGTGATCCTATCAGGTCTTATCATATATTGAGGTCATTCGTAGCAATCGTGGTGATCGTATTGAAACGTATCCAAACGTATCTGAGCGTATCGTATCGTGGACTCAATAGGTGCATTGGAACAATCCTGTCGTAACGCATTGCACGACAGTGGGAACTTAGTATAACATGCAATAGTTTCTACACATTACTAACACAATTGGTTACAGTATTTCAACGAAGGCACGTTATTCCTACAACATCTCTAGCTACAACTACACCACCCAAGATAACTCCCAGTACACCGGAAGACCAGCCGAAAAGTACATTGATTTTGAAGAAACTGCCAGAGATTCTGAAGAAACTAGATCTGATGTCTCAACAACTAACAGGCTTGGTTAGAGAAATAGGTAGAGTTACTACCCCGTTGTGGACAAACTCTGTTAACCGATGACGTGGTTCGGGGTAGATGTAAAATGCTTCCACTCCTCTGACCTCGAATGCTGATGCATGACTTTGATGACGTGGAGGGCAGGACGGGTCGTGGGGGGTAGACGGCTGTAGCGAGCAGAGTCTCGTGTGACCAAGAGACACTTCAGTGTTACATTTCAGAATTCTTTAACTTGTATTGTACACCATTTTGGAATAACCGCGGTTTGTAACACAATCTGGTTAAAACACAGATCCTATTTCGTTTCGTTTTTAAAGTTCAAAATTTCATTTTACTTGTCTTTATTACACTAGGATCTGATGTGACCTTTTAGCCAATGAAACGGCCTGTTATGGCGAGCTTTAGGCGTGTTTTGCACGGAACTGTGGGTAATCCACTAGTAACACCAATGCTGATTGGCTAATCAAATGTCTGTCGTTATAGAGTCAAACGCCGCTCGTATGACCTCTGACTGTCAGATCATAGTGTAGTGTAGGTCATCGAAGGTATAAAAAAACGAAACGAAATATAGATCTGTATTTTAATCAGATTTCATATCATTTCTAATCTAGATAAACATATTATTATGTATCCTTCTTAAACAAAATTATCTAGGCACTCAAAGATATATCTGTGCTGCTCCAAGCCTTTTTGTTGCAAACCGCGGTTACACCAAAATGTTTTACACGGAACGTTTCATCTTCATATTATGCAATATATTATGCAATAAAGAAGCGTGACCCTTTTTATAGGCACAATAAATGATCCCTGAGGTATTGTGACTGTAAAAAAGGCCATGCGCATTGTTACAACATATTTAAATGGTATTAATTTTTGTTATTTGTTTTTTTATTTTCAGATACTGGTGTCATTTGATTTTCTGACTTTTTGACATATTGACAGACGTATTCATTCGTAGTATTTATGTATGTTTTTATACTCTTTTCTGCGCAGGTAGGCATTTCAAAGCTTATTTTACTTCCAATTAAAGTCCCTTTCATTGATTACAGTTACTCAACGAACAACTCTCCAAACAACAGCCCAAGCTACAACAGAAGCGTCTACTACCAAAGCAACAACTCTTTTGACAAGTACAGCTAGCGAGGTAACGTCACCAAAACCAAACACCCCACCGGATACAACAGTGACCACCAAGAAACTGCCAGTCGTAGTGGAAGAAGTCGGAGAGGATCCGACAACTACGCCAGCTACCTTAAAACCCGTACTGCAGGATGAGGAAGAGGATCTCTCCATTTACAAGGTCTGTTTTGATTATGATAAGATTGTCAAAAGCAGGAAAAAGAACAAGATGAGTTCCAATATGATTCATTTTGATACCAGCAACACGTGTCCTTCCATGGCATCATCAGAGATATCATGGCCGCAAACAGAGGGCGGACAGGTGGCTGTGATGCAATGCAAGAGAGGAACAGGTATGTCGATGTATTTTTATGCGCTTATAATTAATGTGGACACCAGTCTGTCCGTCCACAATTACTCGTGGACGAATTAGAATCCACATATTTTATCCGGGTTGGATGAAACTTGGTATATGACCAAATGCGTGATTTGTTAATTAATCGCAGGGTAATTGTTCATGAAAAGAGGCCAAGAATAGCAAGTGAATGCATAGGAGTCTACAGTCTTCCCTCATTTTAAAAGAAACTTGCTCTGTCCACAAGATCTCAATTATTCGAGTAATTGTATCCTATCAGTGGCGTCTATAAGACTCTTACTAAACTACTGAAGATGTGTACTGCGTCTTTAGTATGCAAACGTAAATTATTGAAGATCTGTGCTGAATCTTTTTATTCATATACAGACCACCAAAGATACCTGCTTTTCCAGTGTTTACCTGTACTGAGGCCAATGCAGTATCTTTAGATTCGTATGCTGTCCTTAGTACATAACCGTATATTTGTGCTGCGTCTTTAGTAGCCACATGCAAACTATTTGGGTCTTTAGTACCACACGTACACTACTGAAGTTCTTTGTCTTTAGTACCACACGTGCACTACTGAAGTGCTTCACCTACCACACCTACACCAGTGAAGTATTGCGTTTTTAGCACTACGCGTACACCACTGAAGTGCTTCGTCTTTAGTACCACACGTGCACTACTGAAGTGCTTCGTTTTTAGTACCGCACGTACACTACCGAAGTGCTTCGTTCTTAGTATCGCACGTACACTACTGAAGTGCTTCGTCTTTAGTACCGCACGTACACTGCTGAAGTGCTTCGTCTTTAGTACCCCACGTACACTGCTGAAGTGGTTCACCTACCACTCCTACACCACTGAAGTACTGCGTTGTTAGCACCTCGCGTACACCACTAAAGTGCTTCGTTTTTTTAATATCCACACGTAAACTACTAAAGATCAGTACTGCGGACCAATCTTGCTGCGTCTTTAGTATCCTCATGATAACTCCTGGAGATCTATATGTGCTTATACTTTGTGATATTTGTTTATTTGGTGCAATGTCTATTTTCTGTCTTGTCCGCAGGTTTATCTTGTGGAGTTTTGTTTTGCGTGTAGTGCGGTCCTCCTGCACTTACTATTTAGTAACAACTGAAGCTCCCCACCAATTAATATCTGTCTTTTCTTCCGTTAGGTAAGGCTACCTTTACGTGTGGCCAAAATCCAACTTGCTGGCGAGGTACTCCAGATGTATCCGGATGTGCTTCACCAAAATTTCAACAAATATTCAAAAGAGCAAAGGAGGTAAACTAAAATAATTTGAACACTTTTAAAAATAAAATGGGGTTTGGTTCAATGTCTCGCGTTTCACAAGTTTCGATGAATTCCATAACTGTGGTCAATAATCTAATTATGTGGTGGGCTTACATCCCATCCTAACGACAACACGATCTTCCTTGACAGACCCCCTGTCCCAATTTACTCACTGAGTCACATGAATAAAGAGAAAGCACAAACATCCAAATAACGGGCTCTTGGGTGACCAAGTGTTCTTGAGTAGTGTCGCGATTTGAGAGGGAGAGAGAGAGAGAGAGAGAGAGAGAGAAATGGGGTTTAACGTCCACTCGACACAAACTTGGTCATTTCGGGACTAACATATGGTTTAATTTTATTTCAATAATTCGCTTGCGCGTAGGGGTCTTTAGCAGTGGGAGGAAACCGGAGGACCCGGAGAAAAGCCACGACTTTATGATACAGCGCGCGCACGCTAACCATTCAGCCATCCAACCCCCCGTCGCGATATGAGCTCTAGCTGTTCGGACACCTCTGGCTCGCGGTCGCGCTTTCGATACTCTGGGTACTCCGGTTTCCTCCCACAGGAAAGACCCCTGCGCGTGCGCTAAGATAATAACAAGAAAACTTGATTGTGATATCACACTAAAGAAGAAGGCCAAATAACACCTGACTGGATTTAATCTGGCCCCGAGTTAACAAAGCATTCTCAGACTTGAGTTAATAATTTATTCAAAATTGTTCGCCTTACTTTAATTATAACTAAAATATAGCCCTTTATACAATTCTTGTTGTTTTAATGTATCGAAAACATCAATAAAAAACTATGTGCAAAGTTTTGTGTTTCTGGATCAAAGATATTTCTCATAAATAGTGATTGAAAGTTGAGTAAATTCTTAATGTACGTCTGAGAATGCTTTGTGAACTTGGGGCCAGATTATTCGTAGATCTAATTCTGTCTTTAGATTAGTTATTAATGTTTTATATTTTGTAATGTTTATACTTTTGAAATTTGTATTAAAACAGATTTTTGCCACAAAGAATAGAACAACTACTGAAGCAGAAGCTCCACAAGAATTCTCTGTGAATGAGACACTTGTAGTTTCTGAAACATTGGCACAGATCACAGAAAAGGAGACGGTCTCTGTGGCTGACGTCATTCTCACCTCCCAAGTGATGGAAAAGCTTGGTAAAACCAAATTCGCCAAGGGTCCAGGCAATAAACATGAATTCAAGAAAATTTTCAAGGTAATTCTTTGAAACATTTATTGGACCCTCAAAACGTTTCTGGAAATTAAAACTGTGTCTTTTCTAATGAACAGAAAGAAAAGGGTAGTCTGAAAATGATGAATACGTTTACAGTGAATTAAATAATAAAGGCATTCTGGGCCCTGTTTCTCGAAATCTTAACTTAATATAAAATCCAAATTTTAGTAGATACTTCAATTTTGATTGGCTAAGCACTAAAATCAATCTAATATTATCCAATCAAATTACTAAAAGATGGATTTTGATCTTAGTTAAAATTTCGTGAAACAGACCCCAGTACTGTTAGCAGGGTCATAACTAAACATTATATACTCTAATGCTAGGTTTCCACCGTCGTGTGATGCGTTACAATAGAATTGTGACTATTGAGTCCACGATCTGGTACGTGCAGATACGTTCGGGTACGTTTCGATCCGATCACCACGATTGCTACGACTGACTTCAATATATGATAGGACCTGATTACTCCACGATTAAAACCAAGATTTCAATCGTAGCACGAATCGTGATAGTCGGAACCTAGCATAATTGATAAAGCTGAGATATTCAACAATCTCTTAATGACGTTTTACTCGTAATAGATGTGTATTGTTGTTCCCAGCCTTTTGGAGAACGCAAAGGACTATCAAAATGGATCCGTCCGTCCGTCTGTCCATCACACCTTTTGGAATACAATAACTCATCTTCTGGTTAAGGTTCAAATGTTGAAAATTGGCTAAGACCAAGATCGTAGGTGATGTTTCCCGCACAGATTAATCGGTGCTTTGAAACACGTTAATGAACATTTTCTGCTCAGGTTAAGCAGAGTGAAAATCAATTTGATAGTTAAATTTACAACTATTTATGAGTGCCATCTATATAGTATTATAGTTTAGAACAGAGACAGGGACACCAACCTCGCTGTTGGCTTGTTAGATCTGAATTAGACAAAACTTTCTTTACAATAAATATTTATATGTATTGGTTTAGTCGACAGAATTCTCTTGCTAGTTCGAATATCGTCTTCGATCGACGAGTTTATAATTATTACGTCATACATCAAAGGAAAATTATTACGTCATACACCAAAGGAAAATATATTTAAAAGTATCTGCAAGTTATGATTGTTGTGTATATTTTCGACAGAATGTTGTGAAAACAGGAAGTAACTTGGTATCCCATAACCAGACATCCACTTGGTCTGGTATGAACCCAGTAGATAAAGCAAGATGTGCCAAAGGCCTACTCGTTGCTATGGAATCCGCCACCGTCTCCATGGCACATTCCATTGATTATCCAGTTGCTATAGAAACCCATGACGAAAACATAGGTATGATGCAATTTATGGTTATGTGAATGTTTACTTTGTTGTGACACGTGACACATACGTTTTGTTTAATTTTATTCAAATATCATGTTGATGTAGTGTCCCGGTTTCAAATCCCAAAATGTGCCCAGTTAAAATTATGCGAGGTGAGGTCGAGGTTCAAGGAAACCGAGGCAAAAATCTAATTTTTTAAATACAGTGCACGTAAATGATCTCTAGTAAATTGCTGCCCTGACAAAATTCTGCTCTGGGTTGTAGTACACTCATCTATGAAAACTAAATTACCACCTACCACATTATGTATTGTAGTTCCTAGATGTCATGGGGGATTAGATGGCCGAAGGGTCTAACGCACGATATTGTAGTTCCTAGATGTCAAGACGTTTCATGTATTTTAAACTGTTTTTTATTTCTATCTAGATATGCAGCTACGTGTAATTAATGTATCTAATGACGATACCCAACCAATGGTTTATGAGGAAGGGAAATCTGATGTTAAATTCTCTATACCAAAAGAAACCCTTCAAAAACTCAGTAAAGGTAGGCATATAATAGTGCTTACAGTTCAAGTATAAAGTTCATCGGTATTTCCGTCATTACTCCCCTTGTCAGTGGTGTAAGACTGGGGGCCAGGCAAGACAACGTATATTCGTTTTGATGAGACGAAAAAACGAGATCCCGCGTACATTGGCAGTTGGAATTCGATATAAGAGTAGGCCGTAGCGCCGCTGTCCGGACAAAATTTCCCTCATAGCACACTGCATGGCGTATGCCTGTCTTCATTAGCACAGTTCGGAGCAAAACAGTAGGTCGTTAAACCCCATTTCATTTCATTTCATTTCAGAGTACAAGCAGTCCGATTATTCTTAATTGTGAACATATTCTAGCCAACGATTACAAATGGGGCACTGTGAAAAGCGATTAAAAGGCCGGGGTTCTTCTTATAAATAAACGGATCAATAATTGGGTGTTTTCATTAAAAAAGAATAAAAAGTCTTGAATCAAAAATAAATCCTACCATTACTATTTGTTCTTAATGTGTTTTACAGGTGGACTGGCCAAAGCTGTATTTATGACTCATTACAAAATGGCGGATATTTTAGACGAACAATCGCCGGAGGAGTCGGAAGAAAGCGTCATCCAACCAAAAATAGCTAGTTATATATTTAGTGCTACGTTAGATGGAAATGATAATTCCAGACTTCCAGAACCTATTACCTTCACCATGAAACATGTACATGTAAGTTGGATTGTCCATTTAATACCAACCCAAAACTGTCATTATCCCTTTAATACCAACCGAAAACTGTCATCATCCCTTTAATAACAACCGAAAACTTTCATAGTCCCACAAAAACCAGCTGAAAACTTTTATTGGTCACTATATATGTGTGCCGTGATAATCGTGTCCTCGTTTGCTACTATAATTAAAGCAGCTATATGTAGACCTGACTAACCAGGCATTAGAGGGTGGAGTGAAATTTGGAAATTTATCGTCAACCTAACATAAAACATTATGGTTTCTGTTTTTACAAGATAGCTGTACAGGACTGGGATGCATGTTTCTAAGATTCCTCCACAATATTACCCCTTTTGATTCACTAGCACATATTATTTAGGACGGCTCTTTGAATAAAACTGATATTTTATTTGTCTTTCAGAGCTTTAGTGCTAACTCAGTTCCATTGTGTTCTTTCCTCAATATGTCGGGGTAAGTAGTACACTTCTTTCTACAATCTGAACTGTTTAAAGGGGAATTATGAGAGATTAGATCAAGAGCTGGCAGCTCTCATTATAATAGTTAAAAACTAGATAATGTAAAGGGAATTTGCAGAAAATTTCAGTCAAACTGATCCACTCTAAACCGAGATATTAGCTTTTGAATTTTAGGCCTAGTCTCGATCATCATTACTTAAGTCGGTATGATAAAATACATAAAGATAAATCATCAATGAGCGTTAAGCAGCAAATCGGATTCAAATCCAGTAAATTTCACAGGCTAGCGGTGACATCGAGAGTTGATTATGGTCTGGATCAGTTAATTAATGTCTAATTAATAATTTAGATAACATTTCAGACCTAAATAAAGACCTGCAATAGACAGATTTAGCTCTTGCATAATGTATGTTTAATACATAGAGCACACGGCTCACACACCACTAGCAGTAGCAGACTAAATAATAACACGTAAAGATATAATAAACAAAATCTTAAAATAATAATAATTTATATTGCTAAACGGCGAGATCTTTGATCTTAAAGGGACTATCCCGAATTGAACAGAGTCTCAAAATTAAAAGTCTGAGTACGTATGAAAGTTAAGCGCCAAAATATAAAGAAATGGTGTATTTACCCTGTCTAAAAATTTCAGCTCAAAATATTGAGTCATTTGGACGTGAACGTCAAAACTGCTTATCCGGACACGTAACCCTTTTAAGATTTTAGGTCAGTTCTTTCGTTGGGTGACCTGATAATCGATTCCCTTTTCTTTGGAGGTTTATACAGTGAATGACCCATGTGCCGTACTTGATAACGAAAGGTAAATTTCACCTACACATTGTTTTTTTATAAAATAAAAGGCTGGTCCCCACTTCCAGATTAAGTTGTTTGAAAACGTATCAAATATATTGAGTTAGTTGCTCGGCCCTAAGGTAGAGGATTTTAAGTGATTTTAACACAAAATTAACCAGTTTTATTCTCAAAATTAATATCGGGATTGGCCGTTTAATCAAATACTACATGGCGTTCAAAATATAAGAATTCAGCCGTAAGAAATTGTAGAGGTCCAAATAACACCCAGTTCCTACGAACCCTAAGGGTCGTAATTCGCCACCTGTGACTAAATTCTACTTTAAATCCCTGTTTCCAGTCACGTCTGTACACTTAACCTTAGCAAGAGATGTTAATTGTGGGCCGGTTTGGGAGGTTCGGGTATTTCCGGAGTCCATCCAATATGGCCGCTTTATATAAATGAGTATTTTACAAACGAAAGAAATTGGGTTTAAATTCTTGTGTTCGGGTGTTTCCGGAGTCCAAAATGACCGCTTTATATAAATGAGGATTTGGGGGAATACCCTGATCCAAGTTCAGTCTCCTAAAAAGGGTTAGGGTTATAATCCTTGAGTGGCATTTAGCGATTGAACACATTAAAAACACAACACAGTTTATATGGAAATACAATCACTGGTTTATAAGTATAGCACGACGTTTCGACAAGTATTCTCTTATCGTTATCACACGTTTGTATAAGGTTCAAGAAATATTAAACTTTGTGACAAGATATGTTAATCACAGATAACTGGATACTGGTAGTGTTGAAGTATTCTAAGTTTTATTTTGAAATGTCGTTTTATCCGAGAAATATTTATTTTTTAGAAGGATAATCTGATTACAGAAATGTTTAGAAGTTTGTTAGTCGTGTTTTTAAAAAGGAAAAGCATGTTCGCGTAATTAAATGTAAATAAATGTTTTAAGAACATTAAAGTTGGAAGTTTAAAAAACTGTTTCGTGGTTTTAGAAACTCCTTTTATTTCAAATGACAAATTAAACATAAAATTCGTGGATTGAATACAAATATTGCCGAAAAACAGTTAATGAATAATATTTGTTAAGGCCAACTCAAGATTTCGTCAAGGTCGCTGAAATGTAAATAAGGTTAGGGTACGTACGTGATTCTTGTCGAGATTGTAGATTAGGGGGAGGGTAAGTGTTAGGGCTTGGTCCAGGGTTAGGGTTAGGGTTAGCGCTAGCCCTGTTTACATCTCGTGACGTTGGACCAAACTTGAAGTTGGCCTTATTAAGATCTAATCCGAGTAGGTGAAGGCTGCCCGGGTTCGGTTTTAAGATCCAGTCCGCTACTGTGAATACGGGAGTTGGATGGCCGCGTGGTTAGCGAGTTGCGTAGTTCATAAGGTCTGGCATTGAGTCAACTGGCGTGGTTTCGATTCCCCGGTTGTACGTGACAAGGAGGAGGGTCGCCTGTTCAACCCCGTGGGTTGAACCATTTGTAGTCCCGAAATGACCTAGTTTGTGTCGAGTGGACGTTAAACCCCATTTCACCCACTGCTAAAGACCCCTACGCGCCAGCAGCGAAGTATTGAAATAAAAACTGAACCATATGTTAGTCTCGAAATAACCTAGTTTGTGTTGATTGGACGTTAAACTCTCTCTCTCTCTCTCTCTCTACTAGCAGCCATGTTATTTACATTGAAATACCATTGAACAGACGTTATACGGTCGGTTACCACGGCCATCCATACATCTACTGATGTTTCAGAGAGATAGTTTGTGCAAACAATCCGTAACTTCCATATACGTTTTATGATGAGGCTATATATGCAAGCCATGTGTAGTTTTGTACTATCAGTTAGAGATAGATATGTTAAAACAGCGATAAACTTTGTGCAATTCGCCTATTAGCATTTTAAAGTTGACGTTTGTTATTGCCAGATGTCTAACGTAAACACAAGAAATTCATTAACTTTTTGTGTCGGCCTCGAAAAAAATAATTCAAAACACACGAAGCTGTCATAGCGAAATGATTGATTGCGGGAATGTGATGTATTTACATATTAAATAATTTGTCCATTTTTTCAGAACTATCCGTAAAAAAGATATGTCATTTTAACATAAAATTCCAAAACATTTATATGTCGTATGTCTTTTATTTCATGGGGTCGTTTCGCCTGTCATTAATCTGTCAGCGAAAGGGTTGATTTGAAATTGAATAGACTACAGGCAGCGTATGAGCACATGCATTTAATATAAATTCTATTAAAAACAGCCTTAAACATACATTATGCAAGAGCTAAATCTGTCTATTGCAGATCTTTCTTTAGGCCTGAAATGTTATCTAAATTATTAATTAGACATTAATTAACCTATCCAGACCATAATCAACTCTCGATGCCATCGTTAGCCTGCGATATTTAGCGGATTGGAATACATCTTTTAAAAAATAATTAAACGTAAAAATGGATAATCGAGACTTTGTTTTTTATCGTACCGGCTTTAGTAATGATGATCGAGGCTAGGCCTAAAATTTAATCGCCAATATCTCGTTCAGAGTGGATCAATTTGACTGAAATTTTCAGCAAATTCCCTTTACATTATCTAGTTTTTAACTATTATTTGAGAACTGCCAACTCTTTATCTAATCTCCCATAATGCCCCATTAACGATATGAATTACTGAATTAAAAGCTAAATTGATACCCATTTGCTACATATCAGATGAAATGAGTGGATCCGGGGGATAATTCTAAGCGTCCGCTGGGCTGTACAGTTAATCAAATGGTTAATTGAGCGGAAAACGGATTGTCTATTAGATGTCACCGGAATTCTGTGTAACAGTTTTAGATCTGTAAACCACTAGTTTGATAAAAATCTGATTAAAACACAGATCCTATTTCGTTTCGTTTTTTATATTTCAATATTTTACTTGTCTTTACTACACTAGGATCTGGAAGAGTTGTTATATAATCGTTCTGGATGATGTGAGGGATTAGCCAATGAAACTATCCGTTGCAGCGAGTTCTTGCGTGCGATGCACGGAATTATGGGTATCTTACTAGAAACATCAACTCTGATTGGTTAATCAAATGTCTGACGTCATAGGGTCAAAAGCCGCTCGTATAACCACTCACGCGATCTATCGCTACAACCGGTCAGATCTTCATGTAGTTTAGGCCATCGAAAGTATAAAAAAACGAAACGAAATATAGATCTGTGTTTTAATATTATAATCTTAATACCAGTGTTTCAATATTGCTGTTTATTTTGGTTTTTTGACTAAAACTCTAGGTTGTTTTTATAAATTACTTTCAGGGCTGTTGGAACTTGGTCTCAGGATGGTTGTGAAGTGGTCAGTACAGATGCCGGTCAGACAACCTGTCAATGCGACCATCTAACAAACTTCGCCATATTAATGGACGTACAAGGAGTCGAGGTAACATAGCGTATATGCTTATCAACATTAAAGTTTAAGATTTTGGATTTTCTTCGATTGATTTTTATACGTCCACATTCATAATGTGAACGTATTATGCCGTCGCCCCTGTCTGTGTGTGTGTGTGTGTGTATGTATGTATGTGTGTGTGTGTGTGTGTGTGTGTGTGTGTGTGTCTGTGGTTCGCCTACAGGGCGCAATTCTTCATGGATTTTCTTCAAACTTGGTATACTTATTCCTTATACCCCAAGGAAGATCCCTATTGTTTTTGGTGCATGCCCGACCCCCCGGGGCAGAGCCACGCCCATTTCTAGTATTTGTTTGTTTGTCGTCTACAGGCCACATTTTTTTAACTAATAATCTTGAAACTTTGCATACACATTCTTTGTACCCTAAGGAACATCCCTATCGTTTGGGGTGCATGCCCAACCCCCAGGGGCAGAGCCACGCCCATTTTCTTTTCGTGTGTCTTTGTGTCGCCTACAGGGCGCAATTCTTACTGGATTTTCTTCAAACTTGGTATACTTATTCCTTATACCCCAAGGAAGATCCCTATTGTTTTTGGTGCATGCCCGACCCCCAGGGGCAGAGCCACGCCCATTTCTAGTATTTGTTTGTTTGTCGTCTACAGGCCACATTTCTTAACTTATAATCTTGCATACACATTCTTTGTACCCTAAGGAACATCCCTATCGTTTGGGGTGCATGCCCAACCCCCAGGGGCAGAGCCACGCCCATTTTCTTTTTGTGTGTCTGTGTGTCGCCTTCAGGCCACAATTCTTAAGTTATCATCTTGAATCTTTACATACTTATTCCTTATATAAGAATGATCCCTATTGTTTTTAGTGCATGCCCGATCCCCAGGGGCAGAGCCACGCCCATTCCTTGTATTTGTTTGTTTGTCGTCTACAGGCCGCATTTCTTAACGCATCATCTCGAAACTTTGCATACTTATTCTCTGTACTCTAAGGAACATCCCTATATCGTTTGGGGTGCATGCTCAACCCCCAGAGGCAAGGCCACGCCCATTTTCTCTTTGTGTGTCTGTGTGTCGCCTACAGGCCACAATTTTTAATCGATCGTCTTGAAAAAATTTCATATGAATTCCTTATACCCTAATTAAAGATGATCCCTATTGTGTTTGGTGCATGCCCGACCCCCAGTGGCAGAGCCACGCCCATTTCTTATATTCATTGTTTGTCATCTACAGACCGCATTTCTTAACGTATCACCTTGAAACTTTGCATACTTACTCCTTCTATCCTAAGGAACATCCCCATTGTTTGTGGTGAATGCCCAGCCCCCAGGGACAGAGCCACACCCATTTTCTTTTTGTGTGTCTGTATGTCACTTACAGCCTGCTATGCCTTGTTTATACTTATACGTTATACCCTAAGGCTGACCTCTATTTTTTTGGTGATTGCCAAACCCCCAGGGGCAGAGCCACACCCATTTTTTCTTTGTGTCTCTGTGAGTTGCCTACAGGCCACGATTCTTAATGGATTGTCTTTGAACTTGGGATATGTTTTCCTTATAGCCTAAGGACGACAACTGCATGTCACGACCCCCAGGGGCAGAGCCACGCCCAATTTTTATGTTTATCGTTTACAGGCCGGAATTCTGAAGGGATCAACTTGGTATTTGGCATATGTATTCCTTAGAGCCTAAGGGCATCAACTATTGATTTTGGTGAATGCCCCGACGCCCAGGGGCAAAGCAACGCCCTATTTTTGCCTTTAACGGACAAAGGCCACAATTCTGAATGGATTATCTTGGAACTTGGTGTACTTATTCCTTAGACCTTTAGGATGGTTCCTATTTATATTGTTTCCATATCCAACCCCCATGGGCAGAGCCACGCCCAGTTTTTGTATTTATCGTCTACAGGCTGCAATTCTGAATGGATCATCTTGAAATGTGCATATTTATTCCTTATACCATAAAGACAGCAACTATTTATTTTGATACTTGCCCCGACCTCCTGGGGCAGTGTCACACCCACTTTATTGTTAGTATTTTGTCTGTAAATTTGGCAAAACAAACCCGACGCCTAGCCTTCTTTGCCTCTGATCATATTACAGCCATTTCATATTTCATTCTCTTCATTTTAAAAAGTACCATATCAATCAAAGCTGGAATGTGGACGTATATTGCAGCGTTAGCGATGCTCTTGTTCAAATGTTCTGGAGATAAAAACTTGAGAACACAGAGCGAAGCGTTGCTCAGTAATGAAACATAATTATTTCGCGTGCGCGTTTGATTGTAAGGTCTGTCATTGAGTCAAGTGGCGTGGTTTTAATTCCCCACTTGTACGTGACAAGGAGTAGAGTTGCCTGTCCAACATCGCGGGTTTTCTCCGGGTCCTCCGGTTTCCTCCCACTGCCAAAGACCTCTAAGCGCTAGCGAACTATTGAAATTGAATTTAACCTCTCTCTCTCTCTCTCTCTCTCTCTCTCTCTCTCTCTATTGACCAGTGTGTTTAATATTGTATACCTGTATTTCAGATGACTGATGTACATTCGTCCATGTTGAGGTATATAACAATAGTAGGATGTGTTATATCACTTGTTTGTTTAGTTATTTGTTTTCTCACATTCAACTGTTTCAGGTAAATACATTATTCTTTCTTTTAATCTTCTCCCGTCTCCTTATAATGGTGGGCCTCATAGACTCTCCGCAAAAAACACAATAAATGGCTTGCCTGTTGAGCCCACCAATCTAAGTTCCCCCAACCTCCACCATCCCCCCCACCCCCGCCTCCTTATAATGGTGGGCCTTATAGATTCTCCGCAAAAACACAATAAATGGCTTGCCTGCTGAGCCCACCAATCTAAGTTCCCCCAACCTCCACCACCCACCCCCCGCCTCCTTATAATGGTGGGCCTCATAGACTCTCCGCAAAAAACACAATAAATGGCTTGCCTGCTGAGCCCACCGATCTGAACTGAAACGGGCAATAAAATCATAAAGAGTAACCTACATTTGTGAGCTTTTATTCTTTTGGGTGTGGGGGGGTTGGATGACCGAATGGTTAGCACGTGCGCGCTGCGCTGTATCATACGGTCTTTCATTAAGTCAACTGGCGGGGTTTCGATTCCCCGGTTGTACGTGACAAGGAGTAGGGACGCCTTCCAACCTCGTGGGTTTTCTCCGGGTCCTCCGGTTTCCTACCACTGCTAAAAAACCCTACGCCGCAGATGACATAGTACATGCGCTATGAATGTTAGAGGTGAGCGCAGAAGTTAAAATTCCTGAAAAAATTTCGGGTTGCAGACGGCGAGAGGCGCAGTGGCGGAGCCTACCGTGTAGCCCCCGCCCCCTCCCACCCCGGCCCACCACCCCACGAATATTTGGAAAATTTGACGGCCGAAAACGCGTTTTCCTGGAGGACGTTTGTTTTGACATCTTCTATTTCTATGTAACACCTTACTGATTTGCACGAAGAAAATGAATAGTCAGACCTTTTATGCTCCTTAATGCCGTCACATGTGTAAAAATAAAATAGATATTTGATAACGTCCTTGTTGAATAAGTATGTCAATAATATAAAGAAGACGGTGTGTGAAATTGTATACGTATGTATAACATCAACGGTAAATCTATGGTTGGTGTAATTGTTTACATTTAGATCATGACGTGTCTTTTAATTTTTTTGATAATCAGAAACCTTTTATGAAGGGTGTTTCACCGGTGTCCTCCTGCCAAGATACATCTACAAATATCAGATATCATTATTTATACATAAAATGGTCCCCGTGATGCCGGTCGTCTGCGAGAGGCGAAAGGGCGGAGCTTACCGTGTCACTATCTATAAATTGTTGTATTTTGTCCATCTACCATATATAATGATATTTGTTTCTAACGTGCTCTCCAGGTGAGAGAAAAGTACTTTAAAATGTTATTAAACCAGTGTTAAAATCACTTTGTCTGGGCATATCTTTTATCTTTTCATTGTTTACCGTAGTGCAGCTATACGGTTGTGCTAGTAAACGATGAAAAGATAAAAAGGTATATGTTATAGATACCTTTATATCGCATCTTGATATACTCACAAACCTACCAGGTGTCAGACATCTTCTATTGATCAGACGAATATCATGAAACTGACATTTCAACTTGTCTTTCAGTGCTATCCAGGGAGAAAGAAACTCCATACATAAGAATTTGGTATTCTGTTTGTTTGTTGCCGAACTTTTGTTTTTAGTTGGAATTGATAAAACTGGAGACAAGGTAGGTCGATTTTAAATAATGTTTATAATGTTGGTTTTATTACATGTTATTTCCTGTCTGGATTAGTCAAGCGTGCAGACAAGTTGGAGAGAGAGAGAGAGAGGGGGGGGTTTAATGTCCACTCGCGTAGGGGTCTTTAACAGTGGGGGAAAACCGGAGGACCCGGAGAAAACCCACGAGGTTAGACAGAGACAAGTTGGGCGTTAAACCTCATTGCATTTCAGTAACATGCATTTTGGTGATTCTGCACTTGATAGTGGTGAATTAATGACCCACAACCTTGTATACCAAAAACTTGTCCATGGAAACGGAAACACAAAAATCATTAAATCCGAGAAATGGCATTACCACTATAATAGGTTGATGTATATACCAAAATATATTAAATTGGTATACTCGCGGCCTATTTTCTGTGCTATCCGAAGGACTACGAACTTTCCTTGCAAGACTATCTATCCTCGTGGGTTTTCTCCGGGTCCTCTGGTTTCCTCCCACTGCTAAAGACCCCCTACGCGCAAGCGAATTATTGAAATAAGATTGAACCATATGTTAGTCCCACAAATGACCTAGTTTGTGTCGAGTCGACGTTAAACCCCATTTCTCTCTCTCTCTCTCTCTCTCTCTCTCTCCCCCCCTCTCTCTCTCTCTCTCTTTCTCTCTGTGATATATTGGTGATAATTTGTTATTTTTCAGATGGTTGAATAATTTATTTAAATGATTTTATTTTTTCAGTTAATATGGGATCTTGATAATGAACCGAAGTTGTTAGATGGGTGTATTAATTTATTTAAATTATTCTATTATTTCAGTTAACATGTGGTCTTATAGCAGGATTCCTTCATTATTTCTTCTTAACAGCCTTCACATGGATGTTACTAGAAGGTCTACATATCGTCTGTATGTTAGTACAAGTTTTTGATGCTTCTAAATCCAGATTACCCTACTATTATTTTGTAGGATACGGTAAGTCAAATATACGGTCGTGTTTTACTTTATTGTATCAGTCCACAACTAAAAGAAATAAAATGGGATTTAACGTCCTAATGTTCTGCTCCGAACTGGGCTAATGAAGACGGACACACGCCATACAGTGTGCTACGGCCTACTCTTATATCGAATTCCAACTGTCAAGGGATCTTTTACATGCACTTCAATGTGTACACGGGACCTCGGTTTTTCGTCCCATCCGAACGACTAGACAGCTGTCCTTGTCAGGCCCTCCGTCCTGCATCATTGACAAGGGGAAACCACGTCGGATAAAAGAAAGTGAAAATAAATCAGATTTACTAGTTCAAGAATAAGACGAAGAATTAATTAATATTGTGTGACAAATGGCTTCACACTGATCAACAGTGAATAGTCGCTAAGCCGTTACAATCACTGAGAGGGATGAAATCGGTGTGAGTTAATTAGTTCACAATATTAACTTTTTTCCTTCCTTCTGGTAGAGTTGTCATATTACCGGCGTTTTGGTTGAAGTGAGGGATAAGCAAATGAAACAGTCTGTTACGGCGATTTCTTGGCGTGCAATACAGGGAACTGTGGATAAACCACAAGAAACGTCAAAAGCTGATTGATTAATCAATGTCTGACGCCATAGGATCAAAAGCCGTTCGTGCGACCCCTGACACGACCTTCGAGTACAACTTGTCAGATCTTCATGTAGTGTAGGCCATCGAAAGTATAAAAAAAACGAAACGAAATATAGATCTGTAATTTAATCAGATTGAAAAATAAATAGAGGTTTTTGAAGTATATCTGGATGAAAATATTTATTTTTGTGTTCGTCATTAAATGTTAAAAAAAATCTATTTGAGTACATTTTACACAGGATTAAGCCACGAAAGATGTCCGGAAAATGCTACCAGGAGGGAGATTTTAAAATGTTGAGTTTTTCTATTTGTAGGTTTTCCACTAGCAATCGTAGCTGTATCAGCTGGTGTTTTCTATCAAGGTTATGGTACTGATAGATTGTAAGTTATTCTTTCTTCCTCATAAATCATAGGGCCACAGTGGATCACTAATCGGGATGTTCTGACTTCCATTCCGGTATTGGCTGAGATGCAGGACGGACGGTGTTCGGAACCGTGTGTTCGTAATCACGGTGGATCTTTTTTTTAACAGACTAAGGGAACTAACTCTAAGGGGTTAAGTGGCGTGTAAAAGGATGCCACTGTGGGATAATTTTCCCTTTAAATAGAATCAAACATTTTGATTGTCGTACATCGTTTTAAATGTTCGGAAACTGTAAACTCTGCAAATAAACATCGCCTCGAACAGATGTCCGGTGTATACCGTTGACAGCATGGTAAAGATCCCTTGACATCTTGAAATTCCTTAAACAGCACACTGCTTATACCCCCGTCAGACCGGGGTGGCGTCCTTACTGCGCTGCTACGGCGACGGAAATTGGTTTTAAAGCGCCTCAAGATCGCCATAAGCGTAGAAGAAACGCCAGCTATCGTGCTGTGGTCTCCATGGTCGCCAATGATCGCCGAGACGCGGCGTCTGTTTTGAGCATATTTAAAACAAACGCCAAGTTTCTGCGATCTAACCTGGAAAGCTGTGAGAATGCGACGTTTTTCAAGTTTGTTAATTCTTTGGGACATTTTCTTGTGTTGTGTTCACGTTTGCCGGCGACCTTGTGCATTTTCTGGTCGCCGTACGGTCGCAACAGCACAGTAAGGACGCCACCCCGGTCTGACGGGGACATTAGCGTATGCTGGTCTTTATTAACCCATTGGTGCAGAAGTGTTAGATTTGAGAGTTTGATTCCTCGTTTTGTCGTGAATATATGGATCTAATTTTGAGATGTATGTTGGAAAAAAGTAGACATTTTTTTACCGCGTTTGGGACAGTTAGCATCTCGATTATATATGTCCAAATTCATAGACGGCTACAGAGAAAGCCCACTATTTATTCTTGTTGAAAAACTCAAGTTGAGGAATAGGAAGCATTATATTGTTACATATTTTGTTTATCTTTCAGCTGTTGGTTGACGACGGAGAGATATTTTATCTGGAGTTTTGCTGGTCCAGTAGCCGTTGTTCTTCTGGTAAGGCTTTTAATTTGTTCAGATCAACCGACTTGTTTCTGATGAGCCTGTAAACAAGTTGTGTGTGAGTGAAGTCAGTTAATAATGTGTAAACATATGGGCCCTTACCTTATGCCGCATTCTTCACCCTTGGGAAATAATGTTTACGACTGGGATGCATTCGGTGTCTATCCCTTAATTTGGATATAGAGGTCACCTTAAAAGATATATTCAATCGCGCGTTCAATTTGACCCACACATCCTTTAAAAATAATTAACTAATTAATAGCTACCAACTAATGTGTTGTAATTTCCAACCGTCTTCGTGAAGTCGCCATGCTGATACCCAGATCCCCTGGAGTAGGAAACACGATGTGTTAGCGATTACGAATTCGATTCCCCACCGAAAAACGAGATTTATCGAATGTAGCATTAGTTGGGTGATGTTATGGTGTGTATAATTTCGAAACTAGGATCTTTTAGCTACAAGATCACATTAATTACAATTAATTGTTTTGAACAATGTTAATTGTTTGTTATTATTTCCTTTAAAACTATTGTTAAATAATTGTTTTTAGGTAAATGCCGTGATTTTGGTCTATGCCATGTCGACGGTTTGTCGTCATTCTGAGTATGTGTTCAATAGTAAGGAGAAAAACGGTAGTAGCGATAACATGAGGTAAGCTATTATATTATTTGATTCTATTCCTTCTTCATCATCTTTAGTAAAGGGTTTTGTAGGCGGACATTAGGTTTGTTACCAGTGCAAACATGGCGATTGCACAAGGCAAGGAGTACATGCAAATGTAGGATGTTTGCCAACCGCCCTTGAAATGAGGATTTGCCATATTTAGTCGCGATGAGTGGACGGTAACCCCACTTATCTTATTTCCAACATGTTAAACAAAACCATGTGTCGTTCTGTTTACGTAAGTCGAGGACCGTAAGCCAGTATGATCAGGTTAAATTGCTAAATCCTATATTTGTCGGCATAAAATTTTAAGTGAAAATTGTGTAGTCCAGCTGTGCACACAGTTATAAAATCCGGAGATTGTTGCATATATCCATTAAAGGTGCCAATTGCATGACCTTTTTACCGGTCAAAGCATCTCCTTTTACAGGATTTGCTACAAAGTTAGTAAAAATTAAATGTGAAATATAACTGTAGAATCCCATTCGCACTACAAATAAAACAAGATGTACAGTCCAACATTTAATGGGGAGCCACGGTGGCTAGGTGGTTATAACGCCGGCTCGCTAGCCTGGAGGTCGGGTGTTCAATCCCGCATTGGCCGAGAAAGTTCACCGGGATTTTCCGACGTAGTTTCCCCTTGTCAGTGGTGCAGGACCGAGGGCCTGATAAGGACAGCTGTCTAGTCCTTCGGATGAGACGAAAAACCGAGGTCCCGTGTATACATTGGAATGCACGTAAAAGATCCGTTGGCAGTTGGAATTCGATATAAGAGTAGGCGATAGTGCCGCTGTCCGGGCAAAATTTCCCTCATAGCACACAGTATGGCGTATGCCCGTCTTCATTAGCCCAGTATAGGAGCAGAACAGTAGGACGTTAAACCCCATTTCATTTCATTTCATTTCCAACATTTAATGAAACATATAAATTCATAGTATTGAGTTAAGAAATACAGGTACCTCAATTTGACGAGTTGTGGCAAAAAAACGTCATTTTTAAAATTGTCCCTGTTGAAAGGGTGTGTATATATGTATATATATAATGCCGTTCGGTTTTACAAGTGCGCCTAGTACATTCCAGCAATTAATGACATATTCGCAGTATTGACATTTGAGATTATATTTTTTACAGAGCGTGGATTCAAGGGGCGATGGCAATAGAAGTAATACTTGGCTTGACCTGGGTGTTTGGATATTTCTTCTTATCTCAGGAGACCATTGCTCTGGCATATATCTTCACTATTCTCAACAGTCTTCAGGGGCTATTTATATTCTGTTTCCATTGTATACTAAACAAAAAGGTATGTAACCTAAGTAATTTAGCGGAACTCCAATTTAAATCCATAGAAACAATTGCTGGTGTTAATTTTCCAATGGACAGTTGCCCCCAGGGGTTGTTCTTAACAGTTGTTCTATACAACCTTTGCTCTTAAACAATATCATGTTCAGAAATTTGTGATTTGGTTATTTCTTTATTTTAGATTCTTATTTTTATCTTTTTGAAACGCAAATGTCTATTCTACGCCCAACTGAACATTTTAGAATGAGTATGTACACAAATGCTGTCTTGGTTTTCTCAAAACATTACAGTAATTGCTTTTCTATTGCAGCAGCAAATTTCATCAATGTAAGAATAAATTTTGTATTCAGATGAAACTATAATATCTGAAAGTTGGCTTATTTCTTGAACTACTTTCCCCAGTTTTTGTGTGACAGCATTAAATTTCTATCTCTGATTCCTAATTCTCAAAATAAAACTATTAATTATATATAATACTATGTATTGGAATTAAATACAAGTATCTTGAATGTCGTCTAAGCAAAAGGATTGTAATCTAAGTTTCCAAAACCATTCTTTGAGACTCTAAGCTCTGTTCTGACTGATCTTTGATTTCTGGTATACTGCCGCAGAAGAGAACTGGTATTCATTTACTTGCTTGCAAAGATTCAAAATCAAATAAAACTCACCTGGTCATGCGCACTATCCACGACTATATTATAACCAGTCTCTTTATCTTAATAAGGATTGTTGTCTTTCAAAACTTATTAAATCTTATTATTTCTTGGCAAGGCTCGGTTAATTTCTTCAGTTCGAGTTGGTATGAAACATATGAAATGTGTGCATAAAGTATTTCAGTTTTGGCAAGTTGAATAATTCATTGTATAGGAAATATTTTCTTAGTGGGCTACAAATGCCATGTGTCATGATCGTTTTCCATGTAATGTGATGTATTATATATATATATATAGGTCGCTGTGGTTACCCATAGGCTAAAGGTTGTCTTTTGAACACGACATTGTTCCTTTGAAAATTCTTCTATGTTCCAATGTAATTCTTATCTTCTTGGAAATGCTATGGTGTTTCCAAACAGGTCGCACATAATGTTGTGTATCGTATAGTCACAATGGCGAATGTATTAAATTTAATCTTGGAAATGCAATTTTTTGGCAATACAGGGTGTACATAATGCTGTGTATCTTATAGTCATAATGGCGAAGTAGGTAGTAGTAACCTGGTGTTTAACGTCTGCTTCCACATAAGTGATATCGCAGACATAATGGCGAATGTATTAAATTTAATATATAGAGGAAAGTAAAATGTATATTATTCTCTAATTACAGGTGATCAAGGAATACAAAAGAATATTCCACATCACCAAGCGACCAGCCTCATCTACTCAAACAGCTTCATTGATGAGGAAACAAGGAACATCGTATGAGATGTCCAACCCTAGTCACAGTCATAGTCTCACTAACTCCAACACAGAATCAAAAGCTTAAACCACCACGTGTGGTATTATATATAACCTTCACTAAACTCCAACACAGAATCTAAAGCTTAAGTCACCACGTGTGGTATCTAAAGTTTAAATCATCACGTGTAGTATTATATATAACCTTCACACAAAATCTAAAGCTTAAATCACCACGTGTGGTATACAAAGCTTAAATCACCACGTGTGGTATCTAAAGCTTAAATCACCACGTGTGGTATCTAAAGCGTAAATCACCACGTGTGGTATCTAAAGCTTAAATCAGCACGTGTGGTATCTAAAGCTTAAATCAGCACGTGTGGTATCTAAAGCTTAAATCACCACGTGTGGTATCTAAAGCTTAAATCACCACGTGTGGTATCTAAAGCTTGAATCAGCACGCGTGGTATCTAAAGCTTAAATCACCACGTGTGGTATCTAAAGCCTAAATCACCACGTGTTGTGTCTAAAGATTAAATCACCACGTGTGGTATTGTATACAACCTTTACTAAGTCTGCATAATAGTTGGGATAGTGCCCTCTGATGGCGAGGCGGTGTGGTGATAGGGGGCATGGGCGCACCTATATACCCTCAATAAGGGTAGTAGGCAATTGTGGTTCGGTCCTCAGCCCCATCGGTAGCATAATCCTGGCTACGCCACTGGCACTATCCCATGGGGTCTACCGAGTGTAATGTTTTCATATTCACTGCCAACTGTTTTAAAATATTTTATTCTTTAAAGAGTAAAAGAGTTCTGATTGGTGAGCGACGAGCGTCGATTTGAGTGCTACAAATTATTTATTGCTTAATATACTGCCAAAATTGCATTGCTACTGTTCCGTGCTAATTTAAAATTAGAGGACCAGAGATGAGCTTAATGTCGTCTTTTGGAGTTTGTATTTAAACCAATATTTCCTATTAGTTTTAATTATTTACAACTTTTTTTATATACAAAGGTCAAATTAAACCATTCCATTGGGTGACCGTTATTTAAAGGTTTGACTGTACATATTCTATGGTATATAACTTACAATCTGTATTAGAATTTAAGATGTCTCAATTTAATACTTTCTACTAACAGACTATCTTTATTATTCTTGTGATTATATGAAACAAACCGAAAATAGTGGAAGGATTCTGCTTTTTCATAGACTCGGAGGCACCATCCTTGAGCAAACTTTACCTCTTGGCCAATGAAAGGGTCGAGACAAAATCCTTGAGCAAACTTTACCTCTGGGCCAGTGAAAGGGTTGGGACACAATCCCTGAAAAAAAACTTTACCTCTTGGCCAGTGAACGGGTTGAGGCACAATCCTTGAGCAAACTTTAACTCTAGGCCAATGAGAAGCTTGAGTCACAATCGTTGACCAGTGAAAGGGTTGAATTCTTAAACTATTTTAGGTTTTGTGGACAAGTCCAATGGTCTGTTAATGTTTTGTGTTATCGTTTATTCACATGTTTCAATCATTGTTTATACTAAGTCATCTTATTTACTTTGTTCAAAACTTAGAAAAAGACCATGGTTAAATTCAGGGTATATATTTATACTGTGCATTATATCACACATAACCCATGGGTTACAAATCTCCTTGGGTTTTGTTAACCACCATAAAACACAGATCCTACTTCGTTTCGTTTCTTTTATCCAACGTACAAAGAAACGAAACGAAATATAGATATGTGGGGATTTATTTTTTATCGTGTAAATATATCATTTAATTGTTATGTTCATGTCAACTTAGTGGTCTTTAAGTGTATTATGTATTTGTTTTTATACGCGTCAATATTTTAATGTAGTCGTAAATTACTTTGTTTTCGTCCATGGCTATTCTCCCATCGGTCATCCGTACGTTTTGTATCATCGATGTAGGCCTATGTTTTAGTATAGCCATATCTGTTATGTTGTCGTCTCCAAGTTCTGTTCTTACGTCGGTTCGAAGAACTTTTTTTTAAAAGATACATTAGTTAAGAGCTAAATATGCCTATTGCAAGTCTTTCTTTAGGCTTCAAATGTTACAGAAATTATTAATCAGACCTTTATTTACATACCAAGCCCAAAATCAACCCTGTAGATCCTCGAATGGCTTGGATACAGCTTCGCTTTGAAAAGCCGTCCGTTTAATAATTAAATCATTAAATAGCTGACCAAGCTAACATTTACCATTAATCACTGACATCACTACCGGAGACTGCCGATGAAAGACCTGCCAATCGAGAGTACCGTAGTCATTGAGAATGTTACTTGATAATTAATCGAGAATATCTGGGCGGAGTTATCGTATGTAAATCAAACTATCGGCAATTCTCGGAAACGGTGCGGAGACAGTTGATGCCTACTTCTAGTCCAAACTTAGAACAGAATAAAGTAATTTGACTGACATTTTGTTATCATCTATTTTTGAACGGTTATATCAAGAATGGCCACCTCTCTATTAAAACGTGTCATTAATCGTTATGTGGTTGATGGTTGGCTCGTCTAACGCGTGCGCGTTAGGTCTGTAAGTTGCAAGTAGTGTCGTCTGCCTAACCTCAAGGGATTTGCCCCCCGTTTCCTTCCGTCCCTAAATATCCCTGCGCGTAAGCGAATTAATGAGTAAAGATTTACCTGATGCTAGTCGTGGGGTTGGGTGGCCGAATGGTTAGCGCACTCGTTGTATTAGAAGGTCTGTCGTTGAGTCAAATGGCGTGGTTTCGATTCCCCGCCTGTATGTGGCAAGGATTAGGGTCGACTGTCCAACCTTGTGGGTTTTCTCCGGGTCCCCCGGTTTCCTCCTACTGCTAAAAACCCCTACGCGCAAGCGAATTATTGAAATAAAATTGAACCATATGTTAGTCACGAAATAACCCAGTTTGTGGCGAGTGGACGTTAAACTCCATTTCTCTATCTCCCCTAATGCTAGTCCCGACTTGACCCAGTTTGTGGACTCGAACATCCAGAGTCCCTGAGGGATGTATAAAGAAAGCCGAGAGGTAGCCATTTTGAATCTTGTAGGGCCCGTTAAGTCGTCCAGTAAAAACTTATCGATAGTATATTGGTTAGATATCGTAGTTCACCCAAGCCTTTAATTTATGTGCGATATAGCTGCTGGTGGGTATGTTTTGTTGCCAGGCAACACAAAATATATTCTTATTTTAAACACAGAATGGCATATTTGATATTATCAACATGTTGTAGAAATTCGTACTCCTGTTAGTCAAAGGAGATACATATATTATATTCTATATGTTGAATTGAATTCACGCAACATGTGTTTATATCCGGTGGGTAATCAAACATCCAAGTAAAATAATGAAACTATGGTCTGAAAATATGGCATTTTTCTGTGAATTATCTGCCCCTTTTTTTAAAGTATATCGGCCTACAGGTTATTTGAAAATTCTCATTTTCCCAGTTGGTGCAAATTATTAGGACTTTAAGCCAGGTTCCCACTGTCGTCAGGCTCCCACTGTCGTACGATGCGTTACGATAGGTGTGTCCCTAATAGAGACTTTTGGCAAGCGGATTTTTCCCATCCGTGTCCCGTATCCGTATCGTATATACGTGATACGTTGCGTCGATGTAGTTTTAGAGTTTTGGCAGATTTTAGCAATTTTTGGTTTCACTAATGTATCATTTCAGAAAGTTTAGCCCATAGATCAACCAGTATGCAGACAGGCGGGAAAAATATGAAAATTCCGATAAAAACCCATAAAAAAATGATTAAATTGCAGTCGTTATCACTGTTAAAATCACATCAAATATACACCTTCGTGTTCCAGGATACACATAGATTCATAAAAACGCTATGATGCAACATTTCAGCGTCTAAAAGTAGCAAAAAAGACGGTAAAAAGACGACAGTGTTATACGGACCATTTCCGTATGAAAGCCGTTCCATACGTGCTGCCGTATCCGTGTGCCGTATCACGTATGAGAAATACACAGATATTGATGACGTCACACGCAAAATCCATACGGATACGCGATACGGACCAGGAAATTACGCTTGCCAAAAGTCTCTATTGAGTCAACGATCTGCTACGTGTAGATACCTTGGGATACGTTCGGACACGTTTCGAGACGATCAACACGATTACTACAACTGACCTCAATATATGACAAGACCTGGGCCATGTTTCACGAAATTTCAACAAAAATAAATCCAATTTTAATAATTTGATTGGATAATATTAGATTGATTTTAGTGCTTAGCCAATCAAAATTGAAGTATCTACTAAAATTTAAATTTTATCTTTATTTAAGTTTTCGAGAAACAGGGCCCTGATAGGATCACAACGATTACTCCACGATTTTAATCGCGGCACGAATCGTGATATTGGGAACCTAGCATTAAGCCTCTTTTCATTTGAAATTATAAAGTAAACTTTTGAATTGGCCAAGTTTGAAACCTGGACATTCTGTTTCTATTTATAATGGTATAAATTATGTAATATTTTAACAACTGATGCAGCATTAGGATGTCAGTGCTCTTGCCAACTGTAAATGCGGCTGAAACGAGTAAAATCCATAGTAAATATATTTATATTGTTATGTGTTGTTTGACAAAATTTGTTTTTTGCTATTAAACTGTCTTCAAAGATCATGAATTATTGTGAGTTCGTTTTAATTGTGTCATTCTCAGGGCCGGTTGTAGTAAATGTGGGGCCCAATTTGGGAGGCCCGACGTTACAGGATATTAATAACTTTAAATAGGCCAATATTCATTCATAAGTCGACTACGCTATATGGCCATTAATAACTAAAAACAGCCACACCTGGTAGCCCTGCTGGTAGATTGCCTAGAATTTTTTTAATTTGGTGAAAACCGGCCAAAAACCGGCCCACTTGTCCGAGGTGGCGCTGACAAGCAAAGGTTTTGCGTAGTCCTTCGGGTGGGACCAAAAACCTGTCTACACGGTGCGGTAGACGTAAAATAACGCTTGGCAATTGGAAAGTATGGTGTTGGCGAGACGTTAAAACGACGTATCTTTCTTTTCATTTCCATAGTAACACAAAAAATCTTTTACGGCCACACTCTTACCAAATGACAAATGAATTTACATTAATCTCACTCCGGAATCTTTGATTTCTTGTAATCGCCTGATCGATAAATCACATTGGTTTTAATCATCCAAATAATATCTAAAGAGCACTTCGTTTTGTTTAATTTTTAAATATAATAAAAGTATATATTAGCCTTCTTCCACATTGGGGAGCCACGGTGGCTAAATGGGTAAGACGCTGGCTCGCTAACCTGGAGGTTGCGTGTTCGATCTCTGCTTTGGCCGAGAAAGTTCATAGGGATTTTCCGATGTAGTTTCCCCTTGTCAGTGGTGCAGGACGGAGGGATGACAACCGCTGTCTAGTCGTTCGGATGGTACGAAAAACCGAGATCAGGTGTATACATTGGCGTGCACGTAAAAGATCCCTTTCCCCTCAGCACACTGTATGCCCGTCTTCATTAGCCCAGTATAGGAGCAGAACAGTAGGATGTTAAACCCCATTTCATTTCAGTTCATTTCTTCCACATTGACTCTTTAAAAGGTCAATCCGAGGACACCCGTTGATAGAGAGAGAGAGAGAGAAATGGGGTTTAACGTCCACTCGACACAAACTAGGTCATTTTGGGAATTATTTCAATAATTCGCTTGTGCGTAGGGGTCTTTAGCAGTGGGAGGAAACCCGAGGACCGGGAGAAAACCCACGAGGTTGGACAGCCGTCTCTACTCCTTGTCACGTACAACCGGGGAATCGAAACCACGCCAGTTGACTCAATGACAGGCCTTATGATACAACGTGCACGTGCTATCAATTCGGCCATCCAATCCCCCACATCCGTTGATGAAAGTGGGTTTAAAGTGCAGGTGTGCGAGACTACACGCAAACAAAACAAGTTGCTATAATATTATTTGGATGTACTTACTGTATCATGGGAGACAACTTCAGATCATCGACAATGAAACAAGTCTAAAATATCCCGCTATGAAACTTCAAGTGTGATTGCACTTTCTGTAACACCTGGTTTGGGGCTTGGTACCACTCGTCATATATCTGGCCTGGGGATGTCTGTGGCTACGTCGAATCAAAACGCTCTCAGAATCCTCGGGAATGTTGCAGTTTAAACCCCTATAGCAAATTTACTCTGCCTTATGATTATCAAATAATAACCTTAGACTCGCCCCCATATCAAAACCCCAAGGACTGGGAATTCTTTAATTCCTCTAAAACCATTAAAAAACTTGTACAAGTCATAAACTGAAGTGAAATGGGATGATGGCTTGACAAAGTCTCTCTTTTTTTGAAAAAAAAAAATCTTAATTTCAAAATCCCCAGTGAAACTGTATAGACAAACCCCGTCCAATTGCAAGGTTTGGTACCACTTCTACATATTAAACACAATAACATAACAATCGGACGTCAAATCCCATTTCATCTCAATAACATAAATATGGAACACAATTACTATTCTTATTAAAGCAACATTTCGTTGTGGGTCCTCTCAAGTTTATTTCTGTCTTCATTATGCCAGTCGGAGCAGAACAGTAGGTCGTTAAACCCCATTTCATTTCATTTCATTTCTCAAGTTTAATTAAAATAGTGATTGTGTTTACTACGTATAGGAAATTCTACATGTCGCTCAAAGAAGGCACCAAATGAAAATGAAAATGAAAATGAAAGTGAAAGTGAAAGTGAAATTGAAATGAAAATGAAAATGAAAGTGAAATGAAAATGAAAGTGAAATGAAAATGAAATGGGGGTTTAACCTCCGACTGGGATAATAAAGGCGGGCATACGCCACACCGTGTGCTACGAGAGAAATTTTGCCCGGACAGTGGTGCTACGACCTACTCTTATATCGAATTCCAACTTCTAAGGGTTGTTTTACGTGTCCGCCAATGTGTACGCGGGACCTCGGTTTTTCGTCCTATCCGAACGACTAGACAGCTGTCCTTGTCAGGCCCTCCGTCCTGCACCACTGACAAGGGAGAACCAAGCCGGAAAATCCCGACCAACTTTATCAGCCAACACCGGGATCGAACACCGTCTTACTCCCTAGACCACCGCGACTCCCTCAAAGAAGGCGCGTCTACTTATGTAATATAATAGGCCTACATAGATAAATAATCTGCAGCTAAATGAATGAAAACATGGAAACACCACAACAAATAGGAATGTTCACGTTGCTTTAAGTGTATTTAATGACATGACATTATAAAATCATGATAACGATAACATTATGTACTTTCCACGATAACATGATCAATTCAATATTTATTACATATACTATCAACACAGACAGTAAAACCCCTCTCGGCGACCACCTCTTCATACGACCAACCATATTTTAAAAGAATGTGTAAAATCTGTATGCTAGGATACTAACTATACACCTCCCCTATTAGAACAGTTTATATCAACACTGCAAGTGGGATTCCACTGCATGGATATACATAATTATTCTATATACATAAGAAAATGTTGCATTAAATTACTTAGTGGGGTAGCTTAAAATACCAGCACAAGTAATGTTTAATAAATATCAAAATAGTGGTCATAAATTATGAGACAAAATTGTTGACAATCATAACGAGAACTGTCAGTTCTTTATCTAATCTTAACTAATGCCCCTTCAAAGGAATCAGAAATAAAAGAATGGCATATAAAAATATTATTAATATAACTTCTTTTTACTGGAACGTCGATAATGTAAAACCATTATAGTAAGAGATAAATTCAGCATACAACTAATTCCAAAATTAATTAGTACTCTGACGTCACCTGTCTGTATCAAAGTTGTAATACTTCGAGCTGCAAAAAAAATGTTAAATATACCTTATTTTTTTTTATTTTCCTTTTTCCTAGTTAATGAACAATAAACAAAATTTAAATACAAAACAAAAAAAAATAATATTGAATAAAAACGTTTTATAATACAATTCTACAAATTAAAAAAAAAAGAAATGAAATGAAATAAGGTTTAACGTCCTACTGTTCTGCTCCGACTGGGCTAATGAAGACGGGCATACGTCATACAGTGCGCCAGGAGGGAAATTTTGTCCGGACAGCGGCGCCATGACCTTCTCTTATATCGAGTTCCAACTGTCAAGGGATCTTTTACGTACACGGTAATATGTACACGAGGTTGCGGTTTTTCGTCCCATCCGAAAGACTATACATTGTCCCTTGACAGACCCTGTGTTTATAGGATGAAGATTGATGGAACATTGTCAATTCATATATCTGAGTAAATCTTAAAGAGAAAGAGAGAAAGAGAGAGAGAGAGAGGGAGAGAGAGATGGGGTTTAACGTGCACTCGACACAAACTAGGTCATTTCGGGACTAACACATGGTTCAATTTAATGTCCATAATTCGCTTGCGCGTAGGGGTCTTTAGCAGTGGGAGGAAACCGGAGGGCACGGAGAATACCCGCGAGGTTGGACAGGGGACCCTACTCCTTGTCACGTACAACCGGGGATTCGAAACCACGCCAGTTGACTGAATGACAGACTTTATGATACAGCGCGCAGGTGCTAACCATTCAGCCATACAACCCCCAAATCTTAAAACATGGGCCTATACTTGGACCACTTCCATTTATATATCGAACTTTCAGAATGTTGTAGGTTGCTAGATATTCACAATCCATCTAAATGAAGATCATTGGGTTTTCATTACCTTTAGAACATAGCCTCAATCAATTGATAAGTTTGAATGCATAAATGGGGGAAATAAAAATAAGTCGTATATCAATCAATAAATTATAAATTCTAATTACTTTCAATACATAGAATTATTTAGTCATAATTAATGCATACATCCATTAAATGCTATCTACCGTATCGTAATAACATATGTTACAATAAACGCCCACCTATTGGTTTTGCTGGGAACTGTAACAAGCGACCGCTATCTATTGTGAGTTTAGAATTAAACCTGTACATCCGAGTTCATCAGCTGTTGCAGTTAATGAATGTTGATAATTTACAGTTGTTGGACAATTTACTTTAGCTAAACTTCAAGCTTGTAAACCGTCCTTTCACGTTTTTATATACTAACGTTGACTTGGAAAGTTTACAGGAGTCGCGGTGGTTGAGACTCTCGGTTAGAATTCGGAGGCCGATAAATACCTTAGGGCTTTTTCAGAATCGGCACCGACTTTGGGTTTAACAAGAAAAATATGCCTAGTCGTTTGGCATGGATAAAAACCGAGGTCCAGATTGGTGTGCACGTAAAAGTCTTAACATTTGTCATCGACGAAGAGTATCCAGAAATGAGGCAGTAGGGCAAAATTGACCCCGCTACCATTGCACACGTGACAGGACTATTGTAGGCTATTGACGAGAGGTTAGTGCTAAACGATAAGGCCAGCTCAATTTTTCGTCATAGGTCACGAGATGTAAACAGGGATAGCGCTAATCCCAGCCCTAACCCTGGACCTAGCTCCAATGCATTATCCCCCTAAACCTAACCTACAATCTCGCCAACAATCACGTGCCCTAACCTTATTTACATTTCAGCGACCTTGACAAAAAATGAGCTGGCCTTAACAAATAGATTTAGTCACTGACGAGACGTTAAACGCAATCCCTGTTCTGGAAACGTTTCGTAAAGTATCCAGTTAATAGGAAAAATACGGTAACTAGATATAAAAATACTATATACTGCATATAAACGTCATTCCTATTCTGGAAACGTTTCATAAAGCATCCATTTAATAGGAAAAATACGGTAACTAGATATAACAATACTAATATACTGCATATAAACTGAAATTTATCTGTAGCATGTACAACCTGTCCGAACTATATAGATAAGACGATACATACATAACGATAATTACCACGTGGCTTTATTTATCTATAATAAACATGTTTACATACCCATTGTTGTGTAAAACGCCATTCCCCATGTTGCAGCACTAACTGTTCCAGGATCCTGATTACGAACAATTGAAACTAACTGTATTAATTTACTACTAGTTGATATTGGTGTACATAAACTCTGAAATTACACCATCATAAAAACAGTTGACGGAAAATACACATTGTTAAAACTATCAATTGGAATCCATTTTAGCTTTGTTTTGTTCATGCTTGTGGTTCAGTAACAAACCTGTCTAAACCATACCAAACTTATGCTATCTGTCTACGGATAGCTCCGCTTGACAAATGACACTAAGTTAGTTGACCGACATTTTAAGTCCTAACTCGACGATTTTGTTCGAAAACACGAAGTATACTTCGAGAATTTTGTTAAGTATGTATTTTGCCTCCATTAACAAATTGAAAATGTTTGTTTTGTCTTTGTATGTATGCCAGATGTGAACAGGAGTATGACCGCATTACAAAACAGTATACTAAATTGTTGGATATGGCGGCCATTTAGGGCAGAGATCTATTCTCGAAGTATGAAGTAGATGATCTCTGTGTGCAGAATGAACCATGTACGCCATTAAGCCTGGAAATAAGTCACCTGTGAAGGACAATGTCAGGCACAACTTTAGTTTTGTCAGATACAATCTCTCTGATGACTGTTATTTTGTCCGGCAGTCATTTGTCTTTTTTTAGGTTATTTTATTCATGTTTTACCACATGATCTGCACTAACTTAAAAATGTCACGTCCTAAGATTTATTGTTTTCAGACCGGCACGCCACATCTATCGATATGAAGGTAACAAAATTCTCACGGATCTTTGAATCTGCTTCGGGTCGTGAATCAGAAGATTCGTGTGATTCTTTCGGTCCTTCTAATCACCGATATGAACGTTTCTTTTGTCAATATCGCACAAAGTATGGTAAAAAGTGACCGACAAGGAAAGATATGTCATAGGTATGCTCAGAGGGCCTGACAAGGACAACTGTCTAGTCATTTGGATGGGACGAAAACTGAGGTCTCGTGTATACATTGGCGTGCACGTAAAAGCTACCTTGGCAGTTGGAATTCGATATAAGAGTAGGCCGTAGCACATTGTATGACGTATACCCGTCTTCATTAGCCCAGTCGGAATAGAACATTAGGACGTTAAATCCCATTTCATTTCATGGTCATAGATATATATATATATATATATATATGCTGCATATATTCTACGGATCATATCTAAAATGTAAATGATTTCATATAAAAAAGGACAAAATGATCGATAATTGACAAACGTTTTAAATGTTTATATAAACCGGGGAAATGGGTTGTTGGTATTTCTATAGACTACCTGGATATGATTTCGCGGAATACCTGTTTAATTGCTTTAAATATATAAACAAATGTCGAACAGATGAAATTAGAAGTTATTAGAACTTACTATTGCTGTTTTTAACACATACCCTGGAACCAAGTTCATGGCAAAACATGAAAAAACACACATATATCTGATAATATGTTAAGGATTTGTCTGGGGTTTATAAAACTTGTGAAAATACTACTATCTATACAGCAAAATTACAGGTGAATGTCCTTAACAAAACCAATTTTCGTGATTGTGCAAATATTTTTAATTCACATCAAAAACACTTCTGGTATTCGAAGGTACAATAATACTTATTGTTATTTAATAACCGCGTTTAGCAATACACACATTTTAACTTGAAAAAGTTACATGCATGGGTTACGAAACGTCGTTATTAAAGATTCATTATGTAAAAAAAGAGTCGACAGTTCGCACTATAATGGTTTATAAAAAGATAACGATAAGGGAATTTGTTGAATATTTCAGTCAAATTACTTTATTCTGAGCGATGTTATGAATAAACAAAGTCCTGATTATCCATTTTTAAATTAAATTATTAAATTGTGATTGTGTTTCACTCCATTAAACACCGCGGCCATCCGATGGTCTAGAGAGTTCATTATAGGCTTGTCATTTGAATACACGTCTAATTAATAGTTTAAATAACATTTCAGGCCTAAAGAAAGACCTGCAATAAGCAGATTTAGCCCTTTCGTAATGCATCTTTGAATGACAGAGAAGTGGTAAATATCCATACATACCCCTTGTTCTTTGTTGCATTTCATTTATAAACAATTAAACAGTTTTAATTCAACAATAAAAAGATACAAGGCAAAAAATGGTAGGGCGCTAAGATTCAGCTTTTCATTATACCCTAGAATCAACACAATCACGATTAAATCTAAAATAAATAAAATAAAATACATTAACATAATCACACACACACACCTACACGCATATTTCAAAACAAATTAACATAATCACACACACCCACATGCATACCTAAAACACCAGTAGCGGATATAGAAGCTGAGAAGAGGGGGTGCGGTTCCAAAACTAGGGCCCCATCCACAATCCCACCCCACAATGAATGTCGGCAAAATACTGGCTATAGTATAAAACTGTCTGGGCACTCCGGTAGAACATTGAGCAACCTAAAGGGGGGGGGGGGCTTGAATGATGATATAATGGAATCAAGCGCCCCCCCCCCCCCGCTACATTCATGCCTGTAGCACATTAACATAATCACACATGCACCATCATATCTAGAATGGTAATAAGGTTCGGAACCGTATTTATTAAACGAGTTTTAAGTATATTTTATACCATTCACCATGGGTCAAATAAAACTCGACGGTTAGACCATCGAATTATTTCCCTTTGATCACAATACTTTACGTCTTAATCATTAAATTATATGATTGGACGAATAGTCAGCCCATAAAGCGAAAATTTTAAGGACATACAATTTTGTGCGCGTTCATTGTATTTCATGCCAATTTCGAATTTTTTTCACTTCACCAAGCCCATGATATTGTACTGTATTTCCACTACAGTAGGTAATTTACAACTAAAGTTATAATCCATTTGAACTTTTAAACTAAATGAGATGTGATATCAAGTGTTCTAGAAAGGAGTAAGCGTACCTCGTACACAGCATTCATCACTGTGAATCTGCGATATTTAAAGGAAGTGAAAATTTTACAAACTTTGTCGGTTCTCCGAATGTATTCGTAATATGTGTGTAAAACAAATCGCTTGTGTAATGATCTGCATAGCACAATTTACCCCCAATACCAAATTTTGATCTTACCTTGTAAAACTAGAAACGTGTATTCAAAATATGTTGCTATTGGATAATTCATCGCAAAATGGTAGGTTAACATTATGGAATACCTAAAATGAAGTAATTTTTTTTAAAAAAGAGACGAAAAATTTAAAACATCATATATATCCCGGTGTTAAACTGATGAAAGAGTTGTTTGCCCCGGTTGATGCAAAAAAAGTACGATGTTAAATCCCTATGGTATTTCATTCTGTTCGTCTCAGATACCAATGGAAGCGTGCGTGTGTGCCAAAAAGAAAACCTGTGCACTTAAATAATCTTTTCCCACCCCCTTGGGTCAGTGTGGCGGAAAATACCTTAACAGGTCCATTTGATGGGATCATTTCTTTCTAAAACGAATCTGGCTAGGTGGGTTAGACGCTGGCTCGCTAACCTGGAGGTCACGTGTTCGATCCCTGCATTGGCCGAGAAAGTTCATCGGGATTTTCCGACGTGGTTTCCCCTTGTCAGTGGTGCAGAACGGAGGGCCTGACAAGGACAGCTGTCTAGTCCTTCGGATGATACGAAAAACCGAGGTTCCATGTTTACATTGGAATGCACGAAAAAGATCCCTTCGCAGTTGGAATTCGATATAAGAGTAGGCGATAGTGCCGCTGTCCGGGCAAAATTTCCCCCATAGCGCACTGTATGGCGTATGCCCGTCTTCATTAGCCCAGAATAGGAGCAGAACAGTAGGACGTTAAACCCCATTTCATTTCATTTCTAAAACGAATCACGAATGGTACTGTATTGATCAAATCAAGGTAATAGACAGTTTGGGAACAGTATGAGATAATGGTCGGCAGATTACGTCTAAACAGCGAATAACTCGGATGGGGTTGGGATTTGGGAGAGTCTAGATTTAATATTCAGAAATATCATTTTTAAAAAGAGAATTGATAAGGCATGTTCCAGCTGTTCAATGTTTTGATATAACAATGTCAATGAAATGTAAACTTCGATTTTCTTTGAATAATAAAGGCTCTCGGTAACATAACATATGCCATTGATTTGTCTTCTGGAGGGAAGCCATCTGTCACGGACAATATGTCAGAATCAAGTTTACTTGGACACCCTTTACGTACATACACTACCTTAAGGTACCGGTAGCTAAGTTGTTTGACATGTATGATTTGTATACCAATGCAAGACTTCAGATAGATATGAAATAGGCAGATTTCAACCAACTTTTCAATGTGGTCTGTTTAGGGAGGTTTTACTGTACAGTTACATGTTGCATGGAGTCCAACGTCAACAAAGATTATTAAAATTCTAACTAAACTGTGTAATAGTAACTGCACTGTTCACTTACCCGCATTCTTCTAATAAAACGCTACTCAAACGAACACCTTTGCTACTTCCCCCACGTATCATGGATAATATCTGAGGTAGTTTTATAACAATACATGCCAAAATCACCGATATACTTAAAATATTTGACAACAGCAACAACGTAGCAGACGATCCCACCACATTCTCCATGTTTAACATCTTTGGGTTGCGGGACAGTCGAGAGAAGAAAATCAAATATCACTTAGAACCAGATCTATCACTAACAAATAATAACTAAATAAAATAACAACACGAAGCTCTCAAATAAACATTTGGCGTTAAATTTGCTAAACTCAAAGTACAAAGATTACTCCGACCTCTTTATTATTAGTCTCGTTCATCCAGATCCTTCAAATGGGGTATTCTTTTATTTAATCTCACTACCAATGTGTTAGTCTACCAGACTGAGCAAGGTTGTAAATAAAATATCCTTTTCTCGGCCAACACCGGGAGCGAACCCGCGAGCTCCAGACTAGTCAGCCAGCGTTCTACCCACTTAGCCACCGTACGTTTTAAACAATATAGCCTAAGTGGCATAACCTCAACACTTTTGCAAGCATACCTCAAAAACAATTTTAGTTCTGAGTAACCTAACTAATAATCATAAATAAAATAGAAATTAAGCTAAATAAATAGCAGATACAAATCGAAGGTTTATACTAAAAATAAACAGTTGGGTTTGACGGAACAGGGTTATAGTAAGACAGTGGCAAAGAGAGAGAGAGAGGGGGGGGGGGAGAGAGAGATGAAATGAAATGGGGTTTAACGTCCTATACGTCTGGGCTAATGAAAACTAGCATACACCATACAGTGTGCTATGAGGAAATTTTTCCCCGGGCAACGGCACTATAGCCTTCTCTTATATCGAATTCCAACTGCCAAGGGATATTTTATGTGCACGCCAATGTATATGGCCTACACGGGACCTCGGTTTTTAATCCTATCCGAACGACTAGGCAGCTGTCCTTGTCAGACCCTCCGTCTTGCACCACTGACAAGAGAAATTACCACGTCGCAAAATCCCGATGAAATTTCTTGGCCAATGCAGAACACGCGACTTCCAGGCCAGGGGCGGATCCATGGGGGGGGGGCGAAACACTCCCCTGCTCAGCTACATAAATTTTTTTTGTAAATCAACACTTTTTATGAGAAGAGTTTCACGGCCATGTGCTTTATCCTTTATCGTCAGATGTGGGACAGGATGGGCACTCAAAGCACGAGATAAAGATATAGATATTATGTGATATCACAATTAATGCTTTGCATCCATGAAATTGAATCACAATGTCATTGTATTAATTCATAATAAAAATTGACGTCACACGAGGTGTTGAATTTCTCTGTTTAAAAAGCTCAATGTTTAACGTCCTCTCGACGCAGACTTGATCATTTCGAGACGAACTTATGCTTCAATTTTATTTCAATAATTCGCTTGCCCGTAGGAGTCTTTAGCAGTGGGAGGAAACTGGAGGACCCGGAGAAAACCCACGAGGTTGGTCAGGCGACCCTACTCCTTGTCACTACAATCGGGAAATCGAAACCACGCCATTTGACTCAATGAAAGACCTTATGATACAACGCGCACGCGCTAACCATTCGGCCACCCTCCACTGTAGCAAATAATAAAGACATGAAATGAAATAAAATGGGTTTAACGTCCTACTGTTCCGCTCCAATATTGATAATATACGGTTTGATCATTCCATGTATCGGTTCTTTGACATATTTGTTGACTCACACAACTTTAAAATATTAAAATATTTTTTGTGACGTAATACCGAAATCAACGTTCATACAAGGACAGCAGCCCAAGGTCAAAATTGATGTCACATCGCGGTCTTTAAAATCATTGAAAACCGAACAAAAATACATGGATTAAAACTGAAAACAACTGATTACTGATATCAGCAAGGCTTTGTAGGGTTTTTTTTTTACTATGGATTTGCAGTTTTATCTTGATTTTTGCATTCGATACGAAAGTTGAATAAAATTTATTAATTTGTTCTGACTCAAGATGCTGGAATTCCATTTGATTAGAATCATAGGTTCGGGCCCGTAGCCAGCTTTCTGGCTGCGGAGGGGCAGTGAAGTTTTTAAGTGGGGCACAGTCTACAGTGGGTATTTTAGAGTTCTGATCGGCAACTTTTTTTTTCTCGGGGGGGTGGTGCAAAACATTTTTTTAGGGGGGGGTGGTGCAAAACATTTTTTTAGGGTGGCATTGTCCCCCCCCCCCCTTGCCCCCGCTGGCTACGCTGGCTACGGCCTGTCACAACACGCGGTGTGAATCATTGGCTGAATGGCGCGTGCATTGTTTACATAAGACATAACTGCTTCGGAGAGAATGCTGCATTTTAGTCATTTTAATACCCATTTACACTAAATCGGAAATAATTTTTAACTACAAATACGTCAAACGCCTTTATTTATTTTTCCAATATATACAAAAAATGTTTTAGAATTTAATTTGTCGCAGGAAAAAAGTTAATATTTCTAGTTCAGTAATCCGCATCAATGTCATCCTTATCAGTGATTGTCGCGGCCAAGCAAATATTCACTGCGGATCAGTGTGGTTCATTCTCTGTAAGGTCTGGCAGGTTTTTATATGGACAGTCCATATTCTATAATAGAATACAGCCTACATGTATAGGAGTCTGGTTGTCAAAGACTATCTTTATATTTCGTATAGTTGTTTTGAAATTTTTCCACCAAATAAATCCAAATACAGATTCTGAAAGATTATATTTAGAAGGATAAGTAATTGAATATTATTACTGGAGTATTTGTATATTGTTATGTGTAAAAAAGAAGAATTTTAATCATTTGTTTTTGGTTTCGTTTCGTATCAATTTACAGTATTCCGAATTTCACAATTTACTCATTATCTGCGGGACTGAACACTATTTTGTTGACACTGGATTCAACATGGCAACGAAGGAAAGCAAGGGAAAAAAATCTAAAGAAAATGATAAGAAAAGTGGGAAAAAAAGTGAAGAACCATCCCTTACCGAAGAGAAAAAAGATGAAACACAGTCCCTTGCAACCGAAGAAAATACACCCTCTGATCAGACGCCAGTCGTTGAAGCTCCAATGGAAACTCCAAAAATTCCCACTCCAGAACCTGTTTATGAAGAACCTATTTTACCCAAATTGATAATAGAATGGTTTGTATTTATAATGCAATCATATTTTTAAAAGGCAGGGACAAAATTAGGTTGTTGTATTTTCAAGCAAAATCAGTCATTAGTGCAAGAAGGACATTTTTCATAGTCTATAGTCTGTAGCCGTAGGCTATTTTTACGGCACGGCGCATCGGCAAAATATTGGAATTAGAGAATTTTACTCCCGTAAAGACAAAAAGTTTGGGCTATTTTTGCAGCGGTAGACAAAAGTCTTTCGGCTATTGTTGGGGTTAGCTTCCAATTGTTTTAAGAGTCTTTCGACCTCCCAAAAACTATTGGAAGCTAACCCTAACCCCAAAAATAGCCCAAAGATTTTTGTCTGCCTTCGTAAAAATAGCCAAACAACGTCATTGCGTACGACTTCGAATATTTTCCTGATGATATTTTCTTTACGGTTCCGTAAAACTAGCCATTTTGAATAATAGTCAGTGGTATTATATTCAGTGCCAGTGACTCGTGAGTCAATCTTTTAGCAACAATGAACGAAGAAAACAATGTTTAGCGGTGAATTCATTACACTGTATAATATATTTTGCATGAATATCGCCATAGTTTTACATACAAACTCTTGAAACAGTGAATAATACTGATAACTGCTATGGTAAATCTTTCTAGAACTGAAATTAAACAGTGCATGTATTGAGAACAAATCACACCTTTCCCGTGAAGGTTGCCAGGATTTAGGAAAGATTGATACAGTAATATAATTATTCCCTCCGTTGTCTCAAAAAGCATCAATACATAGCCTCAATATACAACAGTGGTTCTCAACCTCCTTTTTTTTTGCCGATGGCACACCTTGGAAGACATAAAAATATAGTGGCACACCTGGCTAAATATATATGAAAAATATTTGTATTTTGCAAAATAAAAACATGGCAAGTCATAGACGGCATTCAACTGTAGACACAGACTAGTCATAGACACATCTAGAATGACTTAAACTAAATAAAGAAAAACACGGTTATGAACTTACTTTATTGTAGTGTTTCGAATTTCATCAGTCAAATAGATGGCTTCTTCACTATTCTTCATTGAGAAATTTTCTTAGTGTGCCACGGCACACTGGTTGAGAATCACTGACATAGAACATCAATAAAAGAAATAATCTTATTAAACAGAATAGTAAGTCAAGCTTTCCTGTATATGTTAAAACCAACAGAAACATCAAAAGAAAACTTGTAATATACCCAAAGATTATTATAAATAGTTTCTCTGTCTCATTGTAGCTTTGCAGGAGAGTTGGTGAAAGGACAGTACGATGGTGAAAGTTTTGCTCAATTTAAGGGAGGCCACACTTACAAGGTAAAGTTGTTAGAGATATATATTATGAAGAAAATGGCCAATGCTGATTCTGCCGAATTTTTTTTGCTTCATTGTTAAAGAAACATTATGGGACATTCGATAACGAGTTGGCAGTTCTCACTATAATAGTTAAAAACTAGATAATGTAAAGGCAATTTGCTGAAAATTTCATTCAAATTGATCCACTATGAACCGAGAACAAAGCGATATAAATTTCCGCCTAGCCGCGATCATCATTACTAAAATCAGTACGATAAACATCATAGTCTCGATTATCCATTTAATCGTTAAATCGTGAAGGAAAGTTATGCAGTAAATCAGTTCATAATCCACTAAAGATCGCAGGCTATCGATGCCATCTTGAGTTGATTATGGTCTGGATAGGTTAATAAATGTCTAATTAATAATTTAGATAACATGTCAGGCCTAAAGAAAGACCAGAAATAGACAGATTTAGCTCTTTCATAATACATGTTTAAACAACCATATAAATTAGGATTTACCTGAAATATATTTTAACCGAAGACATAAATGTATGATAAACCAATCTTTCATTTCGCAATTAATTGATGTAACCAGCAAGACCAAATAGAGCGGACTATCCTACCATTTTACTTGACAAAATGTCATGGATAAAGTCTTTGTTCCTAATAAAAATTTATGTCTTTATTCCTTGATTACATTGGTGTTAGATGGCTGAATGGTTAACGCTTGTATCATAAGGTCTGTCCTTGAGTCAACTGGCATGGTTTCAATTCCCCGGTTGTACGTGACAAGGAGTAGGGTCGCCTGTCCAAACTCATGGGTTTTCTCCGGGTCCTCTGGTTTCCTCCCACTGCTAAAGACCCCTACACGCAAGAGAATTATTGAAACAAAAGTGAACCATCTGTTAGTCCAGTGGAGTTACCCCTCCCCCCCTCTCTCTCTCTCTCGTTCTTGATTACAGTATCATGTCTAGGTGTAGTCTTAATGTGAGTATATATATATAGTGCTAACTTACAGTAAATGTATTTGATATTTTTACAGGGTCTGTTTTCAGAGGGATTAATGCATGGTAAAGGTACATATACATGGGCAGATGGAGTTGTCTATGAGGTATTTATGAATAATTTGGAACATCAACTTTTTTTTTAACACTATATTATGTACAGTGTACCTTACCACATCCGTAACCAGGATCTTTAGTTTACATGCATTATGGTGAACATGAGTGGGAAACAGAAATAAACTGGGATTTAATTTAATGTCCTCCTGTCCTGCCCCAACCGGATTAATGAAATGAAATGGGGTTTAACGTTCAACTGTTCTGCTCTGGTTGGGCTAATGATGATGGGCATACGCCATACTGTATGCTATATTGGGGGGGGGGGGAGGGTAGATGGCCGAATGATTAGCACGTGCGCGCTGTATCATAAAGCCTATCATTGAGTCAACTGGCATGGTTTCGAATCCCCGGTTGTACGTGACAAGGAGTAGGGTCGCCTGTCCAACGTCGTGGGTTTTCTCCGGGTCCTCCGGTTTCCTCCCACTGCTGAAGACCCCTACGTGCCAACAAATTGTTGAAATAAAATTAAACCATACATTAGTTCCGAAATGACATAGTTTGTGTCGAATGGACGTTAAACCCTATTTCTCTCTCTCTCTGTATGCTATATTGGCAATATTGCCCGGACAGCGGCACTACAGCCTTCTCTTATATCAAATTCCAACTACCAAGGTATCTTTTACGTGCACACCAATGTGTACACGGCACCTCAGTTTTTCGTAACATCCGAACGACTAGACAGCTGTCCTTGTCAGGTCCTGTCCTGCGCTACTAACAAGGGGAAACCAGGTCGGAAAATACTGAAGAACTTTCTCGGCCAATGCCAGGAACAAACCCGCAACCTCCAGGCTAGCGAGCCACGTCTTACTCACTTATCCACCATGGCTCCCGAAGTAAACAAGGTGAATATAAGTCACGTTGCTATGGTCTGAGCTATGTGGGAACTTTTGCCTGGACAGCTACATTTCTACCTACCATAGTCTTTGACAAATTCTAATTCTCAAGCCATCAATTACACAGATTTTTCTTACCATCTGAAGAACTAGACACTTTTTTCTAGCCAATATCTTACTCACTCAGTCAGGTGGTGAAAAAGCCAGTGCTAAGCAGGATATGGAAAATGTGGGCACCATTCCAAAAGAATAGATTTAGAAAATATGTTGGTTTCAGTTATCTGTATTTATTTATCTAAATTTTAGGAATCTTTTACGAATTATCTTTAAAGGCCCATGTTGATCTTGAAACTTTTTCATGAATTTTATTAAAATGTATTATTCGTTTCTTTAATCATTATATTTATTTCTAGGGTGATTTTTGTCATAATGAGATTACTGGTAAAGGAACTTATACTTGGAGTGATGGCAGGTAAAATAACTTTACATCATGATCTATTCACTATCCCATGACCTCTGGGGGGTTGGATTGCTGAATGGTTAGCACGTGTGTGCTGTATCATAAGGCCTGTCATTGAGTTAACTAGCGTGGTTTCGATTCCCTGGTTGTACGTGACATGGAGTAGGGTCGCCTCATGGGTTTTCTCTGGGTCCTCCGGTTTCCTCCCACTGCTAAAGACCCCTATGCGCAAGCCAATTATTGAAATAGAATTAAACCATATGTTAGTCCCGAAATGACCTAGTTTGTGTTATGTGGACGTTAAACCCAATTTCTCTCTCTCCCATTTTTATAGCGCACTCACTTGATCCAGAAACGAAGGATGTAAAACCCGATTCCGTTCATTCATTCTAAAGTCTATAATTGATATTATTTGTTTTGTGTAATTAAAGATACATTATGGGAGATTCGATAACGAGTTGGCAGTTCTCACTATAATAGTTAAAAACTAGATAATGTAAAGGCAATTTGCTGAAAATTTCATTCAAATTGATCCCCTTTGAACCAAGAACTAAGCGGTTGAAATTTCCGGCTAGCCTTGATCATCATTACTAAAGTCAGTACAATAAACAGCATGGTCTCGATTATACATTTAATCGTTAAATCGCGAGGGAAAGTTAGGCAGTAAATCGGCCCATAATCCACTATAGATCGCAGGCTAGCGATGCCATCGAGAGTTGATTATAGCCTGGATAAGTTAATGTCTAATTAATAATTTAGATAACATTTCAGGCCTAAAGAAAGACCTGCAATAGACAGATTTAGCTCTTGCATAATGTATGTTTAATATCTGTAATATTATTTCTCTAATACCTGTAATATCTGTTATATTTATTTATCTTGTCTAATATTTATATGATTTTATTTATCTTGTGGTAATACTGTAATATTTGATATTGTATTTTAGTACGTATGAAGGTGATGTCGTTAAAGGTAAAAGACATGGAATAGGTAGATATAAATGTAGCAGAAACAGACTATCATATATTGGACAATGGGATAATGGCCAACGAAATGGAAAGGTATGAATATCATTGTCACATCATGGCTCTCGTTTTAGTCATAGGTTCCTGTCTTGACTGAAGGCCAGTGAAAAATTGAGCGGTTATTCTAGGTTCCCACTATTACGATTCATGCTACGATTGAAATCGTGGTTTTAATCGTGGAGTAATCGTGGTGATCCTATCAGTTCTTATCATATATTGAGGTCAGTTGTAGCAATTGTGTTGTCTGTATCGAAACTTATCCGAATGTATCTGTGCGTACCAGATCGTGGACTCAATAGGGACGTTAGGACAATCCTATCTTCACACATCGCACAACATTGGGGACCTAGCGTCAGAGAATCTTATTATCAGTCAGTTTAATTACTTGCCATAAGGGGGGGTTGAATGGCCGAATAGCTAACGCATGGACAGTATATCATAAGGTCTGTCATTGAGTCAACTGGCGTGGTTTCGATTCCCCTGTTGTACGTGACAAGGTTTCCTCCCACTCCTAAAGACCCCTACACGAAAGCGAATTATTGAAATAAAATTGAACCATGTTAATCCCAAAATGACTTAGTTTGTGTCGCAATTGCCATTCATTTAGAATTTTACTAAGTACTGTAAAGACTCAAAATATAATAAAATTTGGGATAATGCTAAAACTCAGACATGTTGTATTCTGAAACTATATTATTCAAATTTTCAGGGTCGTATGGATTACGATAACGAGGGTAAATCATTCTATGATGGTGATTGGATGAATAATATCAAACATGGCTGGGGTTCACGTCAATACCCATCAGGTAATACGTATCAAGGGATGTGGTTTAATAACGTCCGACATGGCGAGGGAACCATGAAGTGGTTGGACAAAGATCAGATTTATACGGGACAGTGGGAGAATGGAATTCAGGTAGTTAAATACTCTTATTGTTAATATACAGTGTAATTTGTGTCCGCGGGTTTGTCTTCTCGGTCCCATCTTTATGGGACATTCAGAAGTACATGAACTAAATAATACTGCCATATGAGATTATGATAAACCGGTTTGAATTTGAATGCAATTATTCAGGGACTTCTTGTCTCCTCTTGGACAAATACGTTAAAAAATTTGCTTGTGATAATGGATCATGTATCATTTTAATGTATCAGTTATCATGTTCATTTTCAGGTATCATGTTCATTCTGTAGCAAAAACATGACCCTAGTTCTGGAGTAATGAAATACTTAAGTCACGGGGGAACTCCCTAGATTCGAATGAAATTATATTCCATTACATTACTACTTTCATTTTCAGCATGGTATGGGACAGCATATCTGGTTATTGAGAAGAAGTCATTCGTCCCAGTACCCACTGAGGAACTTATATGATGGGGAGTTTGTCAATGGTTTACGACATGGTTACGGATCATTTAGATATGCTAATGGAGCATCATATGAAGGATACTGGAAAAATAACATGAAACATGGAAAGGTAAGAGTTATCTTTCCTTTAAAATGTATCAGGGTTGGGTGGCCGATTGGTTAGTGCATGCGTGTTGTATCATCAGGTCTTTCATTGAGTCAACTGGCGTGGTTTCGATTCCCCGGTTGTACGTGACAAGGAGTAGGGTCACCTGTCCAACCCCGTGGGTTTTCTACGGGTCCTCCGGTTTCCTCCCACTGCCAAAGACCCCTACGCGAATTATTGAAATAAAGTTGAACCATGCGTTAGTCCCGAAAAGACCTAGTTTGTGTCGAGAGGATGTTAAACTCTATTTCTCTTTCTCTGAGTTTTCTAAATTTTATTACTGTTTATTTGTAGGGAAAATTTACATTTAAAAATGGTCGTATATATGAAGGTGTGTTTGAGAAAGATCATATTGTAGAATATCCTGATTTTAATACTGATGGTGCCAGTACTCCAGATATAACACAGATACGAACACGAACTCCTCTCCCTTCAGGTAATCTTATAAATATACTTATATATATATATATAGGTTGGCCGAATGGTGAGCATATGCGTGCTGTATCACAAGGTCTGGCATGGTTTCGATTCCCTGGTTGTACGTGACAAGGAATAGGGCCGTCTGTCCAGCCTCGTGGGTTTCCTCCGGATTCTCCAGTTTCCACCCACTGCTAAAGAACCCTACGCGCAAGCGAATTATTGAAATAAAGTTAGTCCCAAAAAATGACCTAGTTTGTTTTGAGTGGAGGTTAGTTGTGGTGCTGGACACAGAACGAGAAATTTGGTGGTTAAAATCTAGTTAGGAGCTCAAAAATCTATCTCTGTGGTTCACTAGAGACTTGTGTCTAGTCCTTCAGAAGGGTTAAAAGTACACGAGTTCACCCCCCCCCCCAAAGATAATATGTATTGTCTCCCTTTAATGTTTTTTTATTATAGTGAATTGTATAAAGCAGTATGGTTTTATGTTTACTGGCTAAATCTATTTGTTAAGGCTAGCTCAATTTTCGTCAAGGTCGCCGAGATGTAAATAAGATTAGGGCATGTGATTGCTGTCGTGATTGCGGGTTAGGGTAAGCATTAGGGCTAGGTCCAGGGTTAGGGTTATCGGGAGATGAGGGTTCTTTACAGATACCCCTACAGAAAGCATGGGCCGTGGGTCTATCGTTTCCTAATCTTTTCAGGAATTGAACCCATGATGGCACCCATTCACCTTGCAGTTGCCGGTTCAGCGCTCTAACACTGAGTTATCGCTAGCCCTGTTTACATCTCATGACCTTTGACCAAACTTGAAGTTGGCCTTATCAAATAGATCTAATCAAGTTTACTGGTAATAATAGTCTGATTAATGATATATATAATAATCATGTAATGTATCTTTAATAGATAATGCTAGTGTCCACAGTAATGAAAGTCGTAATACTATAAGTCCTAGTTTCCAGCTAGAGATTGATGAATTACTTAATGAGTTCGTAGAAACAGATCGAGAGGATGAAGTTAATCAAGTAAGTAATGACTATTGTTGCTTAGTTAAAGGCTCAATAACATTCTTGTTGTAACTGAATAATATGTCCCAATCTTTATTCTGGTCAACAAATTGTACTATTTTACAATATTCCAATTAATTGATGATACAAATTTCATCTTAACACACCTAATTTCAAAAATTGGAAAACTTCAACTAAATGATTTGAAAAGCCTGACGTAAAGCTTTTCAAATGTGACTTGGATTTAAAAATATTTTTGAACCCTCTGGACAAGTAAAATAGGATTTAAAGGATAATTTACACAACAGGTAGGACACTAACACATCTAGTACTTAGAATAAGGCTATTTTTTATTTTCTGGAGCTTTCAAGCCAGCAAGAGTGTTATTGTCCCTTTAAATTAGAAATCTACGAGTGACGAGTAGCTGTCCCAGATTTCTCTCATCAAACGACTAGTTTCGTTCAGTTCAAACTCATCGGACTTAAACATACATTTTGCAAGAGCTAAATCTGCCGATTGCAGGTCTTTCTTTAGGCCTGAAATGTTATCTAAATTATTAATTAGACATTAATTTACTTATCCAGACCATAAATAAACTCTGGATGGCATCGCTAGGCTGAGGGGGTTTATTGGATTAGGTTCCGATTTGCTGTTTGACTTCCATTCATAATTAAATCATGAAATGGATAATGGAGACTATGTTTTATGATGATCAAGGCTAGGCCGAAATTTCAATCGCTTAAATCTCGGTTCATAGTGGATCAATTTAACTGATATTTTCAGCAAATTCCCTTTACGTTATCTAGTCTTTAATTATTATAGTGAGATCTGCCAGCTCTTTATCTAATCTCCCATAATGTATCTTTAAGTAAGATTGTGCGGATGTTCCCTTTATATAGAACGGAAGCAGTCGCTCAGATGATACAGCACTGCATGGTCCATCTGAGACCCATTTTGTGCTGCTGTCCCCGACGACTATATAAAGGGAACATCTGCACAATTTCACTTAAGCCTGATCAGTTCGAACATTGGCATGCATGTAAAAGATCACTTGACAGTTGGAATTTGATATAAGAGTAAGCCGTTGTCTGGGCAAAATTTCCCTCATGGCACACTATAGGCTGTATGCCTGTCTTCATTAGCCCAGTCGAAGCAGAAAAGTAGGACGTTAAACTCCATTTCTTTCCATTTCACTAAAATTGTACCATATGTAAGTCCAAAAATGACATAGTTTGTGTTGAGTGGCTGTTAAACCCCATTTCTCTCTCTATCTCTTTCAAATGATCATAATTTTTTTTTTTCTGGCGATGAATGTTCATATAAAATAATACTGTTAATATTTAATTAAAATCTGTGATTTATGTTATTACAGGTGATGTATGTTATATTAAGACACGTTACAAGTTTAAAGAAGATTTATACATATTATAGTAACCTAGGTTACGAGGATAATCTAGATAATACTTATATCATGAATAAAATGCAGTTCTGGAGATTTTTAAAAGATTGTCAACTTCACCATAAGCATCTAACATTAATGGATATGGACAGATTACTTGGCTTGTGTAAGTTATTTATGATATAGGTTTAATGGACAGATTACTAGGCTTGTGTAAGTTATTTTATATAAAGGGTAATGGACAGATTACTTGGCTTGTGTAAGTAATTTATGATCTTGGTTTAATGGACAGATTACTTGGCTTGTATAAGTAATTTATGATAAGGCTTTGATGGACAGATTACTTGAATTGTGTAAGTAATTTATGATAAAGGTTGGTGGACAGATTACTTGACTTGTGTAAGTAATTTATAAAAACAGTTAATGGACAGATTATTTGGTATATGTAAGTGATTTTCTAATGATTAATGGACATGGACAGTTTACTTGGCTTGTGTCAGTAATTTATTTGTGTAATGATCTTTAGTAATGGTAAAAGATAATATGGACAGATTACTAGGCATGGTTTCGATTCCCCGGTTGTACGTGACAAGGAGTAGAGTATGGTCGCCTGTCCAACCTTGTGGGTTTTCTCCGGGTCCTTCGGTTTCTCTCTCTCTCTCTCTGAAACCATCAAGATTAATTAGACCCAAACGAGCCAGACAGCAATATCCTAGCGCTATTTGTCATAAAGATTTATTTTTAATTTATTTTCAGGCTATCACAAGGCTAATTATGAACTTCACAATCCGTTTGAAAGAATTCTCCAGAGACAGTTTATTAATTATATGATAATTCTAGCATATCATCTTTATCATGAAGAAATGGAGTAAGTTTATTAGTTTTTAAGCGGAAATTTCATATTTTCTAAGAAAGTCAAAACATAATTATTTCTATGTCTTTTGCTCAATAGGTTGTCAACTCACTATTATACGATCATAGGTATCATTATCACACTTAAAAATCCTTTGACCCCGGAAATAATAACACAATTACCTCCCTTGTTTTTCTATTCCCCCATGGAATAGCTATCTTCAAACGTTTGAATTTGAAGTTGAAAATGATATTTTTTCCAATTTCTCAACTGGCAATAGTGAATTATAGGATTAATAGGATTATTCTTTAACAAGGTAGGACTGTTTATAGATACCATCTATTTTAAGGCTTCATTTTAATACATTTTAAAAATATAATTTGAAAATATAAAATTATCGCTTTAAAAGATTTTTAGCTTTTAAACATACATTATGCAAGAGCTAAATCTGTCTATTGCAGGTCTTTCTGTAGGCCTGAAATGTTATCTAAATTATTAATTAGACATTAATTAACTTAGACCATAATCAATTCTCAATGTCATCGCTACCCTGCAATATTTACTGGATTTGAATCCGATCTGCTGCTCAACGCTCATTGGCCTATCCCTCACACCATTCAGAACACAACTCTTCCAGATCCTAGTGTAGTAAAGACAAGTAAAACGAAATTTTGAACTATAAAAACAAAAGGAATATATTTTCTTTATTCTTAGGGTGGGGGGGGGGGGTCTAGTGATTTAACGAGTGTGCGTGAAACCATAAAGTCTGCCATGGATCCTTTGAAAAGTTAGAAACAGCAAAAAACCCCGACCCCACATCACTTTTTTTTCTTTGACCTATATTTGTTGTTTTTCCAGGGAGGTTGGATGGCCGAATGATTAGCGCGTATTGTATCATAAAGTCTATTATTGAGTCAACTGGCGTGGATTCGATTCCCCAGTTGTGCGTAACAAGGAGTAGGGTCGAGTGTCCAACCTCGTGGATTTTCTCTCAGTTGTGTTGAAATAAAATTGAACCATGTGTTAGTCCCGAAATGACCTAGGTTGTGTCAAATGGATGTTAAACCCCATTTCTCTATCTCTCTCTTTCATATAATTGTGTCATAATACAGGGTTCCCGCGGTCCTTGAAAATCCTTGAATATCCTTAAATTTAAAATTTCATTTTCAAGGTCTTGAATATCCTTGAATTTCGCGGAAATAGGAAAATATCCTTGAATTTCAGTTGAGATCCTTAATTTCGTTTCAAATGTCTTCAATTCCTTTTAAATATGAGATTATAACGATAGTTGGTAATGTTTTGATTATTTTTAAGATGAAAAATTGTAACTTTAGGCTAAAAAATGTCTTTGAAAATCCTTGAATTTGAGGTATATTTATCCTTGAATATCCTTGAAAAAATGTTTGACGAAGCGGCGGGAACCCTGTAATATGTTATAGATTTCATAGCCTGAAAAAAAGGGTCACCTACCCAACCCCTTGATTTTTCTCTGGGTCCTCTGGTTTCCTCCCACTGTTAAAGACCTCTACGCGCTGGCGAATTGTTGTTGTTTTTCCATGTTTTGGGGATGGAAAGTAATTTCGTACAATTATTGTTTGTTTACTTCCAGTGTCGAGGGTCCTGTATTGTCATGGTGTATGTCCAAACTTATTACAGAAAACATTCTTCCAAACGCTTGTAATGTAGCAGGTAAAAATACTCATTTTATTCTTTCATTCTGCCGTCCCACACACAGAGATCCATCTACTTCATACTTCGAGAATAGATCTCTGTCCTAAATGGCTGCCATATCCAAAACTAAGTTCTACTACTTTACACACCTGGGCCCTGTTTCTCGAAATTTTAACGAAAGATAAAATCCAAATGTTAGTAGGTACTTCAATTTTAATTGACTAAGCACTAAAATCAATCTAATATTATCCAATCAAATTACTAAAATTTGGATTTTATCTTAGTTAAAAATACGTGAAACAGGCCCCTGGCATACACCTAAATAAACCTATTTACTTCCATGAAAATGGAAGTAGAATAAGTACCTCTCAAAATAACCGAAGTAAACTTAGTGTTTTCGACTAAAATCGTTGATTTAAGACTGAAAATGTTGGTCAACTAGCTTAGTGTCTGTTTTCAAGTGGAGCCAACTGTAGAGAGATAGCCTAAGTTTAGTATATCTTGTTCTCTTAAATAGTTAAAAACTAGATAATGTAAAGGGTATTTACATTATCTATTTTTGAAATATCATAGCGAGAACAGCCAGCTCTTTATCTAAATCTCACATAATGCCCCTTTAATATTTTTTTTATCACATATTTGATGATGTTTTTATCATTTGATCATGTTTTTATCATGTATTTTATCATGTATTGATCATGTTTTTGATCATTTGATCATATATTTGATCATGTTTTTATCACGTATTTAATCATCTTTTATTATGTATCAGGTAAAATATACATAGAAACAAGAAGAGCTGTCAATGCTTTAGTACATTTAGATCAAGCTTATGAAGTTTATCAAACAGTTTGTACAGCCAGAAAGGTATGTTGATCACACCTGTCTACGTATAGGCCTAGCCTGTTCCACCGTGGTTCTCTTGTCTACATAGGCCTAGCCTTTTCCATAATCCAATTTCAAATGAGATAGGGGGTTGGATGGCCGAATGGTTAGTGCGTGCACATTGTATCCTAAAGTGTGTCATTGAGTCAACTGGTGTGGTTTCGATTCTCTGGTTGTACGTGACAAGGAGTAGGGTTGCCTGTCCAACCTCGTGGGTTTTCTCCAGGTCCTCTGACTTTCTCCCACTGCTAAAGACCCTTACACACAAGCGAATTATTGAAATAGGGTTGAACCATATGTTAGTCCCGAAATGACATAGTGGATGTTAAACCCCATCTTTAGGCCTGAACTATTAATTAAATTATTATTTATACATTAATTAACTTATCCAGACCATAATCAACTCTCGATGTCATCGCTAGCCTGCAATATTTATTGTATTGGAATCCTGTCTGCTGCTCAACACTCATTGATGATTAAATCAAAAAATGGATAATTGACACTGTTTTTTATCATAATGACTTTAGTAATGATGATCAAGGCAAGGCCTAAAATTCAAAAGCTAATATCTCAGTTCAGAGTGGATCAATTTGAATGAAATTTTAAGCAAATTCCCTTTACATTATCTATGTTTCAACTATTATAGTGAGAAATGTCAACTCTTTTTCTCATCTACCATAATGTATCTTTAACACCTGGGAAAATGTTTTCAAATCGGTCGTTTTTATTTTGTCGACCATTACATGGTATCGATACCGTACTCATTATTAAATAAAACATGGATATTGCATCTCGATTTAAATCGAAGTCTGCGCCCTCAATCTCCCTGCAGAGAATATTTTCGGTCATCTCTCTGACAGTCATAATTCTTGGGAAAGATAAAAAATTTTGATCGAAAAAAAAAAGATTGATTGCCATCATTGCGAATAATAAATTAACAATTGATTATCTAGTGCCGTTCATGATTAGTAATAGTGTTTCCCATGGTTATGTACTTGATAGCCGAGTCTGCGTTTCCTGTTATCAAGAAAGTTTAATAGAATTACTTCCCTAATTATGAGAAAAGCTTTTACAAGGTGTTTATTTTTCCCCAATCATTTTTTTTGACACTTCAATTCAAAATATAAGATTTTATTTTTATTAATAAAACTCAAGTACTGTCTTTCAAGTGTATTTTAGATTCATATAAGTGTAAAGCTCTTTAAATTTTTTTAATTACAGCATTTACCAAAAGAACCGGCAATAAAGATGAGACAGTTTTTATTTATGATGAAGGTAAGCCCATATTCATGAAAACTTAAATCTCTTAAAGATAGGTTCCCAGAAAAGTATTTATCGGGTGGTTATTTCCAATAAAAGTATGGCAATTTTGGTATATATGGAAAGTAGCGATATCCAATCTTACTAGAAAAATACTGGATTCCCTGAAAAACACTCATTGGGCATATATAGGACAAAAATGTAAGGGTTCCCCTAATCAACAGCCCGACGATTAGGAATATCAAAGGTTGCACGTGGAGATTTAGCGCTTGATGTACAGAAAGTGTTGTACGTCTAACTCTTCATAAAGTTTATCACTTTCTGAGATAAAAATGACGGGAAAAGACGCGGGCAGTGGATAATCCGAGAATTTGATTAGTTTTCGATATTTGTAATAAATAGTCAGCGATTAAAGACAACATCATCTTGTGTATGCACCCATAAGTCACGTGACATACACATGACCTCTTTTGATCTTTTTTTTTTTATAGCAAGGGTATTCCTTGACAATTACAATGTTTTGAGAAGGATTTGAAGCAAATTTATGAAAAATTAATTAGTTTGAATATGTTTTTAGGCCAAATATATCATCAAATCACCCAGTTTGTATGTGGGAATGTATCTTTAAAATTTGACCTTAACTTAAGATAAGTCATATTCACCAGACTCATTTTCTAAAGATTCTAAATTACAATAGATTTTAAGTTAAGTCAGCTAATACCCTGTCTTAAACTTAAAATCGGGGGCTTGGATGGCCGAATGGTTAGCACAAGCTTGCTGTATCATAAAGCCTGTCATTGAGTCAACTGGCATGGGTTCAAATCCCCGGTTGTACGTGACAATGAGTAGGGTCGCCTGTCCAATCTTGTAGGTTTTCTCCTGGTCCTCCGGTTTCCTCCCACTGCTAAAGACCCCTACTTGCAAGCGAATTATTGAAATAACATTGAACCATGTGTTAGTTCCGAAATGACCTAGTTTGTGTCGAGTGGACGTTATACCCCCTTTCTCTCTTTCTTTACACCCACATTTGATGTCTAGTTTGTTGACTAGTGTTAACACAAGGGCTGAAATAATGACTTCACGTTGTGTTAGTTTTAAAGATGTGTTCTGTTTTAGGAAGCAGGGTTGGGTGGCTGAACATCCTGACACAGAGACCCATCTACTTCATACTTCGAGAAGAAATCTGTCTTGAATGGCCGCCATTTCCAAAAATTCACATATTGTTTTGTAATGCGGTTCTACTCCGTTTCACATCTGGCATAAACATGAACACTAAATAAACCTATTTAATTCTTTTAAATGGAAGCAGAATGAATACTTTTCAAAATTCTCAAAGTATACTTAGTGTTTTTGACTAAAATCGTTGATTTAAGACTTAAAATGTCGGTCAACTAGCTTAGTGTCTGTACTCAAGTTGAAGCTAACTGTAGACAGACAGCTTAGGTTTAGTATGGTGGCTGAATAGTCTAATGCATGAGTCAAGTGGCATGGTTTTGATTCCTCGCTTGTACATGACAAGAAGTAGGGTCACCTGCCTAACCTTGTGGGTTTTCTCCGGATCCTCCATTTTCCTCCCACTGGTAAAATCCCCTATGCACAAGAGAACAATTGAAATAAAATTGTACTATATGTTTGTCCCGAAAGGACCTAATTTGTGTTGAGTGAATGTAAAACCCCATTTCTTTCACCCTCTCTCCCTCGTGGGGTTTTTCTGGGTCCTCTGTTTTCCTCCCACTGCTAAAGACCCCTACGCGAAAGGACCTAGTTTGTGTTGAGTGGACGTTAAACCCTGTTTCTCTCTCTCTATTTTAGGATTTGAAACTGATTAACAGTGATTTAGATCCACATGGTATTATAACAGTTTTATCTAGTGATGATCCAGGTGTGGCCGATACAGAAGGTTGTTATAATCTGGAACTCGAGGTAAAATACTTTTATATTTATGTTCTCAAAATAAGGGGGCGTGGATGGCATGAGGGTTAGCGTGTGCATGGTATCTAGCTCTGTCATTGAGTCAACTAGCATGTTTTCAATTCCCCTGTTATACGAGACAAGGAGTAGGGTTGCCTGTCCAACCTTATGGGTTTTCTCCTGGTCCGCTGGTTTGCGGGGGGTTGGATGGCCGAATGGTTAGCACGTGCGTGCTGTATCATAAGGCCTGTCATTGAGTCAACTGGCGTGGTTTCGAATCCCCGGTTGTACGTGACAAGGAGTAAGGTCGCCTGTCCAACCTCGTGGGTTTTCTCAGGGTCCCCCGGTTTCCTCCCACTGCTAAAGACCCCTATGCGCAAGCGAATTATTGAAATAAAATTAAAAAAAACATTTGTTAGTCCCGAAATGACCTAGTTTGTGTCGAGTGGACGTTAAACCCCATTTCTCTCCCTCTCTCAATTGTTTGAATTATTGAAATAAAATTTTAAAAAACATTTGTTAGTCCCGAAATGACCTAGTTTGTGTCGAGTGGACGTTAAACCCCATTTCTCTCTCCGCTGGTTTGCTCCCACTGGTAAAGACCCGTACGCACAAGCAAATTATTGAAATAAAATTGAACCATATGTTAGTCCCGAAATGATCTAGTTTGTGTCGATTGGACAAACTCTCTATATCTCTTTCTCTATCTCTCTCTCTCTCTCTCTCTCTCTCTCTCTTAAAGACAACTTAAAGAAACAAAGACATTTAAATTTGTAGGGAAAACCAAGGCTTTTGTTTTGCCGGTCTTGACTGACTGACAGTAGATATTGACTGGTGGCTGACAGTTGGTATTGACTGACAGTTGATATTGACTGACTGACAGTTGATATTGACTGTTGATATTGACTGGCTGACAGTTGATATTGATTGATATTGACAGGCTGATAGTTGATATTGACTGGTGGCTGACAGTTGGTATTGACTGACAGTTGATATTGACTGGGTGACAGTGGATATTGACTGGCTGAGATATTATCTGGCATTCAATTTAATGACCTGAACTTAGAATTTCAAACAATTTCACTTTAAAAACACAATAGATACTGTTAAAATTTGTTGTTTTTATGTGTAAAAACACCTAACATTTATAAAACTTGGGAAAGTGTGTTGCTTGTTCGAGGTAATTTTGAAGTGAAAGCCGAGGGATATATCCATTAGCTGTACTCCTTGGTTTTTTTTTTTTCAGCTGACATTTTTAGAATTTTTTGAAGCGTTAATTGGGTGTGCTGAGATATATGTAACAGAAGCTGTGGTGAAAGATCCGGCTACGCCACGTCCTAGTACAGCGTTAACACACGATCACAGCATGTGTTCAATAACAGGAGCTCCATCTAGATTAACCAGTCAGGTTAGTACTCTATACCAGTAGTCTGGGTTAACTAGTCAGGTTAGTACTCTATACCAGTAGTCTGGGTTAACTAGTCAGGTTAGTACAATATTCCAGTAGTCTGGATTAATTAGTCAGGTAAGTAATCTATACCAGTAGTCTAGATTAACCAGTCGGGTTAGTACTGTATACCAGTAATCTAGACTAACTAGACTGTTGTGTGCTAACTTGACTGAGGGAGCAATTATTAGAAACGTCCAAAAGATTCTGCAATTAAAAGGTGGAAAAAGAAGTTGACAGAAAGTAATTAAGAATTTACTTATTCCTCAATATGTATGGTAAATGGATAGTAATTAATGAAAAATACATTCATTTGAAGCAAATTTTTGATAGATTAATTAGTTTGAATATGTTTTTAGTCCAAATATATTATGAAATCACACAGTTTGTATGCAGGAATGTATCTTTAATGGTCAAATAATGTAATAGCTGTTCCTTCCATGTAGGATAATGACCACTAAAAAAACAGCAAAAGCTGGGAAAATTTGAAATGAACCAAATAAACAGGTTTAAACTCCTACTGTTCTGCTCCGACTGGGCTAATGAAAACGGGCATACATCATACAGTGTGCTATGAGGGAAATTTTGCCCGGACAGTGGCACTACAGCCTACTCGTATATCGAATTCCAACTGTCAAGGGGTCTTTTACGTGCACGCCAATGTGTACACGGGATCTCAGTTTTTTGTCCCATCTGAATGACTAGACAGCTTTCCTTGTCACGCCCTCTGTCCTGCATCACTTACGTGGGGTATTCGCGTCAGAAAATCCTGATGAATTTTCTCGGCCAATGCAGGGATCGAACATGCGACCTTCTAGCGAGCCAGCGTCTTACCCACTTGGCTCCTTTGAAAATTTGATGAGTAGAGGCCAGACACTGGGTGGATTGACAAACCTTTGAATTTTGTTTTTTTATCATTTTGACAATTTCTTAATGATGTTGTTATATTGCAGGGTTGTGTTGATGATGGAGCAGATTCGGTTCAGCCAACACCACAACTTGAAACATCATCAGGAGTTGCCTCCCCTACTAGAGCTCAATCTTCCGTTGCCACAACTAAAACGGGTGAAATATCCAATAAAACACTGGATGTAAGTAAATTTATCTTCTGTCTACAGGGTGGGGCTGGGTATCATAAGGTCTGTCATTGAGTCAACTGGCGTGGTTTCGATTCCTGGTTATATGTGACAAGGAGTAGGGTCGCCTGTCCAACTTAGGGAGTTTTCTCCGGGTCCTCTGGTTTCCTCCCACTGCTAAAGACCCCTGTCCACAAGCGAATTATTGAAATCAAATTGGACCATGTTAGTCCCAAAATGACCTAGTTTGTGTCCAGTACTCTATCTCTCTCAGATATTAGAGCCCTTGTTCATACTATAGCATCATTTGTCCTAATTAACCTAAATTGATGATAAAGTAAAACTCTCTTTCTCTCTCTCTCTCTCTCTCTCTCTCTCTCTCTCTCTGTGATATAAGAGATAACATTAACCTAAATTGATGATAAAGTAGAACTATTTTTATTGTTTGTTTATTTTAGGGCCATCAACAATCGTCTAACAATATACCTGTTGATGGAACACAGAATGTACCAAATGTTCTTGATACTTCTAAAGGTGAACTTGTTGTTATAAATAAACCTTCATTCTTACTGCCAACATCATTGCAAATGGTGCTTGATTTTATCTCATCCAGTTTTTCCTGGTGGTTCTCTCTTGTCAGTGATGCACAACGGAGGGCCTGACAAGGACAGCTGTCTAGTCGTTCGAATGGGAAAAAAAACCTGCGGTACACATTGGCGTGCACATAAAAGATCCCTTGACAGTTGGAATTTGATATAAGAGTAGACTGTAGTGCCATTGATCCGGCAAAATTTCCCTCATGGCACACTGTATGGCGTATGTCCATCTTCATTAGCCCAGTTCAGAGCTGAACAGTAGTACGTTAAACCCCATTTCATTTCATTTTTGATTTTATCTGATTTTGAAAGTCTCTGGGAGTTTAATTACAGTACACTTATTTGTCTCCTGCTCTATGGATAATTTGGCATTCAATTATCTTCTGCCATCTACTTTTTATACGCCAACATTTTCATGTGGACGCATTATGTCATCGCCCCTGTCAGTCCGTCTGTCCACAATTTGTTTGTGGACACTCTACCTGTCCCAATTTTATCTGATTTTTACAAAACTTGAAATAAAAGATCTTGATTTTCGGTATTGGCATGTATTGGACCGTAACTTCATGGATTTTGGCCCCTGATAGTGGACGAAAAATCACGTTTTTAGCTTGTGGACACTCTAGAGGTCACAATTTTTATTTAATTTAAATGCCCTAACCATGCTGGATAAAGAGATGAGAGAAACCTTGTCAAACTTTTGCTAGTATTATTTTTTATTATAAATACATGTATTTTGTTTTCTATCAGATATTCAGTTCATGGCTGATCAACAGAAATCCGCTTCGTTTGTTAGTACCCATACTACGGCTACAGATGATAATCAACAGTTAATGCAGAGTACCGTGTCAATTGGTGGACATACAGAAATACCGATTGATGATGTAGATAGAGTGTGTAAGTACAACAGTTTTAAATTAAACGTACATTATGCAAGAGCTAAATCTGCCTATTGCAGGTCTTTCTTTAGGCCTGGAGGGGGGAGGCTATCCGAAAATTTTTGTTCTGAAATGTTAAAGCTGTTGAATTGAAAATAGTACAAGTAGTTAGAAAATGTAATAAAGAAGGGAAAATTAAGATTAAAAAAAAGTTGTTGCCAGGGTAACTCATTTTTGGGGAAAGAATTATGAAAAACGTAGGTACGCTATATCTGTGTAACTAATTAAGATATCTTCGCCAAATTTGCAGGGTATATCAACTAATATCTACCACAGAATCAGACAGAAAGTAATTTGAATTATCATTAATATTTCAAAAGTTATCAAAATATTTCTCCAAAGACAAAATATTGTGGTGAGGCAAATGTTTTAAACACCATTTTCCAAGAAACTATAAAAATTATAGAGAAAAACTCTGTCTGGTTTTAGAGTTATCATTAAAGAATAAGCAGTCCGAAAATGAGACATTTATCTTTATTATTATCAGAGATATGGTGTACCTACATTTTTCATACTTATTCCCCAAAAAATGTGTTACCCTGGCAACAACCTTTTTTTCTTTTTTTTAATGTTAGTTTTCCCTTGTTTATTACATTTCCTAACTACTTGTGCCATCTTCAATTCACTAGCTTTGGAATTTCAGAAAGCATTTTTCGCATAGCCTCACCCCTTAATTAGACATTAATTAACTTATCCAGACCATAAACAACTCTCGATGCCATCATTAGCCTACAATATTTAGTGGATTTGAATACATTTTCTGAAAAATAATTAAACGTAAAAATGGATAATCAAGACTTTGTTTTTTTTATCGTACTGACTTTAGTAATGATGATCGAAGCTAGCCGAAAATTCAAAAGCCAATATCTCGGTTCAAAGTGGAGGAATTTGACTGAAATTTTCAGCATATTCTATTTATATATTTATTTTCCAACTGTTGTGGCGCGAACTGTCAACTCTTTATCTAATCTCCCATAATGCCCCTTTAAAATGATTCTGTTTTTTTCCAGCACCAGACGGCGACGAAGAAGAAGAATTAGATGAAGCAACGCGTCGTTTCAACTTCTGGACTCATCAAATTCATATTTTCTTTGTCAGAAAGTTTTTGCCGGCAGCAGATCGTATGGCCACCATCAAGAATGCTGTTGATAGTAAAGTTTTAGAAGAAGCACGACAACGTTCGGCAGCTTCTTATCACCATTAATGGCAACTATTTTAAAACAGCCATTCTGTTTGGGATTCCAAGTTCAGACAGAGTATATTTCTAAATAATAAAGCTGGATGTCTCTGTTTATCAAAATATGTAATTATTTTCACATCAGTCCAACTTTTGGGGATTCAAAATTCAATGAATACTTCGAAGAAATTTGGTGTCCTCTGTTTAATTATTTTCATCTTTGTGGGTCGAGTGGCCGAAGGGTTTTACGCGTGCGAGTAAGATCTGTCATTGAGTCAAGTGGATTTGTATCGATTCTCCACTTGTACATGACAAGGAGTAGGTTCACCTGTCCAACCTCGTGGGTTTTCTTCGGAATCTCTGGTTTTCTCCCACAGCCGAGTTATTGAAATAAAATTGAACCATATGTTAGTCCCGAAATGACCTAGTTTGTGTCGGTGAAAGTTAAACCCAATCTCTCTCTCTCTCTCTCTCTCCTTCCCTCTCTCTCTCCCTCTCTATCCACCAATATAGTGTTGTAAATCCTATTTCAAATCAGTCCCTTGTCCTACCTTGTGGGTTTTCTCTGGGTCCTCCAGTTTCCTCCCACTGCTAAAGACCCCTACGTGCAAGGTGTTGTAAATCCTATTTCAAATCAGTCCCTTGTCCTACCTTGTGGGTTTTCTCCGGGTCCTCCAGTTTCCTCCCACTGCTAAAGACCCCTATGCGCAAGCAAATTATTGAAATAAAACATTAAACCATATGTTAGTCCTGAAATGACCTAGTTTGTGTCGAGTGGACCGTAAACCCCATTTTTCTCTCTCTCTCTCTCTCTCTATTTCAAATCAACACAGGGACATATATGGACAGTTAGGCCATAACCATTTGAACTTTTTATTTTAGGCACACATTTATCCTTCTTTCTTGCTGGGTTGGGGGGAATTAAAAGCATTGTTTTGGAGTTAAAGTTGAATTTCAATCCCAAAACCTGAGGGCTTTTGACAGTGGGTGAATTTATGTGAACTCTTCTAATAATGGTTTTTATTAACAACTGTCAATTTGAGTTCGGTATTGCACAAAATTTTAATTTATTATTTGACTATTAGTGTGTGAAACATTTCTTAATCCACGGAAATTAGTTATTGGTCTTAGGAATTGTTGAAAATTTAAACATTCACTACTAAATGACATTTTGTTTTGGGGTTTTGAATATCATGATTTTTAACCCTGGATACTGTCATATTAACCTTTGATTCTGCAGCCAGGATATCTAAATGTAAACGATTTTAAAGCAGAAAACATAACTAATATTTTTAAGTTAGTTTAAGATAAAGAATATTTGGTATTTATTAAAATCTGTGATATTATTATTGTGGTGATATTTATATATCTGATCATGTTATCTATAAAAAAATAAAGTATTATTAGATATTGTTTTGTGGTTTTATTTTTTTATCTTGAGGGCACCTTACATTTAACCAGGAACACAGATCTATACCTTTAGGGCTTTCTGAGAATTTCCCAAATGTCACGCTATGTGTTTTGTAATAGAATAGTTTTTGGCGTATGTCCCTCGAGGTCATCCGCTAGTTATGAAAATGGTTCATGGTCATTAAGAATATTGTCCATAATTTCTCTCCGGACTAATCGGAAACAGGTCGGTGTGGAAGGGAAAAGCTGGAGGGGTGGGGGAGGGGGCGTAATTTTGGCTTGGAGGGAATAGCTGTGGGGGCGTAATTTTGGCTCGCTATGTCAATTTGATTTTTGATCGTAGGGGCCAGCTCTTTCATTCTAAATGGAAATTGATATCAGATTTGGGGGACATCAGAGATAGATCGTTTTATCTTTACCAGGCTGTATATAAGTGGTGTGGTTTGGATTCCCCGCTTATATGTGACAAGGAGTAGGGTCGCCTTTCCAACCTCGTGAGTTTTCTCCGGGGCCTTCGGTTTCCTCCCACTGCTAAAGACCCCTACTAGCAAGCGAATTATTGAAATAAAATTCAACCATATGTTAGTCCCAAAATGACCTGGTTTGTGTCGAGTGGACGTTAAACCCCATTTCTCTCTCTTTCTCTCTCTCTCTTTTTTGCGAGGTAAAACTAAAAGAAGCCAGTTCCAGCTAAATGTCGCCGGTGTTTTAATCCATTTAAATCTCAGTCATCCAATGGTCTAGAGAGTTGATTATAGGCTTTACATGTTAATAAATGTCGGGGGGTTGGATGGCCGAATGGTTAGCATGTGCACGCTGTACCATAAAGCCTGTCATTGAGTCAACTGGCGTGGTTTTGAATCCCTGGTTGTACGTGACAAGTCGTAAGGTCGCCTGTCCAACCGTGTGGGTTTTCTCCGGTTTCCTCCCACTGCTAAAGACCCCTACTAGCAAGCGAATTATTGAAATAAAATTCAACCATATGTTAGTTCCGAAATAACCCCATTTCTCTCTCTCTCTCTAATAAATGTCTAATTAATAGTTTATTTAACATTTCAGGCCTAAAGAAAGACCTGCAATACTCGGACTCTTGACTAATGTATGTTTATATCCATTGTGGAGAACTAAATAGCTTCAGGATCTTGTACGAGTTTCCAAAATGTCACAAGAAATGAAATGAAATGGGGTTTAACGTCCTACTGTTTTGCTCCGAACTGGGCAAATCAAATAAAACACTATTTATGAATAACAATTACTATGGTTTATTTCACAGCTACGTTTCAACAAGATTTTACAAGTCGTCATCGAGCATATATCAACACAACTATATAAAATGATATACTTGATAACGACTCGTGAATTCTTGTTGAAATGTTGCAGTGAAATAAACCATAATAATTGTTATCCATAAATAGTGTGTTATTTTATTATGTTCTATTTACTAAATGCCATTCAAAGAATACACGCAGTACATATAGGTTAAACAATTAACCCACTGCCCACATCAGTCTTTACCACCACGTTAAAAACCCGTCTTCAATTAACCCAGTCGGAGCAGCACAGTCTTTATATGCCCAGGAGGACGCGGGTTCGATCCAGGTGTTGGCCTAGAAGGTTCATCGGGATTTTCCGGCGCTGTTATATACCCATATCCGTGGTACAGGACGGGGGAGGGGGGGGGCTGACAAGGACAGCTGTCTAGTGGTTAGGATGGGACAAAAAACGAAGGTCCGTGTACACATTGGCGTGTACGTAAAAGAACCATCTAGTTCTTCGGATGATACAAAAAAAACAAAGTCCCATGTACACATTAGCGTTCACGTAAAAGAACCACTGACACTTGGAATTCGATGAAAGAGTAGACCGCAGCGCGGCTGTCCGGGCAAAATTTTCCTCATAGCACACTGCATGGCGTATTTATTAGCCCAGTCGGAGCAGAACAGTAGGACGTTAAACCCCATTTCATTTCATAACTTTAAAACGTATCCAGATTTCGAAATGACTGCATCGCCACGTTGTCTGTCGTCGGTGGGGAGTCAAAAGGTCGTATCTTGCATATTTTGCGAAATTCACTTTTTGCTTCTTCAGAATGAGAACTTTCATGCACATCTGTTCATCTAGTTTTGTTCTATTTCTAAGCCATTAAAAAGAGGTTTTATAGATATTGTTTCAAAATGTCGTATATGGGGTGTTCCACACAAAAAAACAAAAACAAAAAAAAAAACCCACTAAGAGCGAAAATATCGCATTTCCTTGAAAAAAAATCAACTTTGCTTCTAACCAAAGTATTACAATCAAACGAAATATAGCCAATATCGTTTTGTCGGTAAATACGTATTATTAAAATTATTGTTGAGCCTCTACTGTGTGAAATCTATGAAATTGAAGCAGGTAAAGGTGAATATTTTCCTGAGTTACGTCTTTGTATTGCTGTATAAAATTAAAAATAACCAGATTTTACTCCTTATTTCTGCACTAGATGTTGAGCTTGATATGTGCGGATAGTTACATACTTTTTAAATGGCTACACATACATTTTGTAAATACATATTTGAGAAAATCTTCAGAAATACGACATTTTACATATTATGACATTTTGACATCACACGACATTTTGATTCTTAACCTCTGTGCGATTTTTGGCTCTCCTGGACAATTTCGCAAAACCCAGATACGGCCTTTTCACTCCCCCACCGACGCTGTGTATAGGGCCGATTTTTATAACGAAAGAATGTCAGAGGAATCCGAGATATTTAACCTCTTTGTACGTTGTTTGATGGTTAATTGTTTTCAAATTAGTTAAAACTAATCGGTAATTCATTACGCCATAACTAACCCAAGTCTTCATTTTCTCTCTCATCAAAACTTTAAACTTGCATCAAAAGATCACATCATAGGTGGGCCTTAAACCGTATTTAATTATCAAAGTAAATAAAATCAACGTACTTTAAGTGCTAATGGGCCTACTTAAGAAAATCGTAATGGCGTGTTTATTTTTATTGCGTGTTCAAAGACTAATCAGACCTACACGCTTCATAACAATTACATATAGAATGTATAGTTTCGGCAAAGTTTTTCTTCGGAAAAAAAATCTTGACACTCCAAGATTAGAAGGAAAACAATCTAACATATAGTTTTTAAAACATGCATTGGAGACCTCCAGGATTGAAATCGGGTTTTTTTGGGGGTTGTTTTAAATATCTATTAAATTAAAGATACGTTATGTAAGATTTAGATAAAGAGCTGACCATTCTTGCTATAATAGCTCAAAAATAGATAATGTAAAATGAAAATATTGAAAATGTAATTCAAATTACTTGATTTTGAGCCAAGTTATCACTGTCTGTAGTTTTGACAAGATGTGTGCATTGTGGTAACCAGGACACTGGTATATTCGAGACTTAGCCTCGCTTTCTCAGTTTTAAATTAAATTTTTAATCTAGTTAAAATCTCGAGTATCCGATGCCATCGAGAGTTGATTATGGTCTTGTTTTGAATATCTTATTAATAATTTAGATAACATTTCAGGCCCAAAGAAAGACCTACAATAGGCAGAATTAGCTCTTGCGTAATGTATGTTTAGCGATGCCATCGAGAGTTGATTATGGTCTGGATAAGTTAAATAATGTCTAATTAATAATTTTAGAAAACATTTCATGCCTAAAGAAAGACTTACAATAGGCAGATTTAGCTCTTGCAAAGTCCTAAGGATACTGTTCAAATTCTAATCGACGATTATTAGAAAATGGCACCATTTCCTGAATAAAGAAATGGCCAAGATTCTGGCGACAACTCTTCTGTATTTGGGAGTCGCGGTGGCTCAATGTGTGAGACGAAATCTGCAGGTGGCCTTAATATTTAGATTCGTCCCTTAGTGCATGTTCTCAAGCGGAGGGGGATCACGGTGGCTAAGTGGGTAAGACGCTGGCTCGCTATCCTGGAGGTCGGGTGTTCGATCCCTGCATTGGCCGAGAAAGTTCATCCAGATTTTCCGGTGTGGTTTTCCCTTGTCAGTGATGCTGGACGGAGGGCCAGACAAGGACAGCCGTCTAGTTGTTCGGATGGGACGAAAAACCCAGATCCCATGTATACATTGGCGTGTACGTAAAAGATCCCTTGACAGTTGGAATTCGATACAAGAGTAGGCCGTTGTGCCGCTGCCCGGGCAAAATTTCCCCCATAGCACACTGTATGGCGTATGCCCGTCTTCATTAGCCCAGTTCGGAGCAGAACAGTAGGACGTTAAACCCCATTTCATTTCATTTCTCAAGCGGAGCTAACTGTAGACAGGCAGCCTAAGTTTAGTATGCCCAATAGGCTACACACTGGCAAACAATAGAGAGAGGTAGAGAAATAGGGTTTAACGTCCACTCGACACAAACTAGGTCATTTCGGGACTAACACATGGTTCAATTTTATTTCTATAATTCGCTTGCGAGTAGGTGTCTTTAGCAGTGGGGGGAAACCGGAGGAACCGGAGAAAACCCACGAGGTTGGTGTGACAGTATTGGTTCTTAAATCGGGTTCTTTGATGACAACACTGGTATATACATCTAATAATAGTTTTATTCTGCTTCTTACAATATTAGGTACAAACATCGTAATGTTAAAGACACCCAGGACTAAATTACATTAGTTGGCCGTTGTCCGGTCTTAACTCCATGACCTGCGTGGCCTGGAGTTAACTACCAGACGTCGCCTAGCCTCCGCCTGCTCTCCTGCCCTGCCTGGACTTCTCTCCTATCCATTAGGTACCTTGATCTAGGCACCCGCCTAGCATGGCCTCCTGGACCCGCCTGAAGATTCGTTTCTGTTCTGAGTTTATAAACGTATTCGAGACAAAGGAGCTCATTAGACACCTGTCTAATGTATCAAGCATCATATGAAGGTTTAACATTCAATATAGTTTATCAGACAAAGAAAGTTAGATAAGACATGCCAACAACAAGTTATAGTTACGCAATGACATAAGGAATACTACCAAGATCTCCAGCCGGGTATT